TGTGTATAACAAATGAATGATGTGTTAGTTTCTAAAATTCCCTGGACCTTGTCCTTACCCTCCTTATAGGAAGCCATTTCTAAAATTATACTCATAAATACCCTGTTGATTCGATTATTTGACTCCTGCATACTTGATTCTTTGCCTTTGTCTCCTTTAGACTTAAAGCTGTACACCTACCCAAGATGAAAATGCCTGCTGTCTACTGAGGGCCACTAGTTAAACTCTGCAGAGTATCCCTAACTGCCATTGGACAACTTCAACCGCCTTCCGCCTAAAGAAGTCAGATCGGGCTCCGCCCATTATCCCTCATGGCAGTTTGTGTTACTTCCTCAGAGAAAAGATGCTACAGGGAGCTAAGTCAGTTAAAAATATTATAGGCAGTCACACAGGGCTCAAAATAGCCAGCACAGAGAACCAGATGTCTGGTGACTGTGAAGGAGACAGATACCTTCCACTGTGGGCCAGATCCCAAAACAAAAGGCTAAACTTGGTCCTCAAACCCCTCAGGGAGACCTTTTTAATATGGCTTTTCATGTTTTCAACAACAGAGATAAAAATCAAAAGAAAAATAACAATCTGATCTTTTAGCAGTGACACTTGGAGCTCTAAGACAAGTAAACTGAGACAAGGTGGAGCTGCCCAAGCCCCTCCCAGACCATGCTTCAAGTGAGACAGAAAGGACACTGGGCAAGAGAGTGCTCCTTCTGCAATCTTAAGTGCCATCAGAAGAGTGACTGGCCTAGCTGCCAGAGAGCGGGTAAGCCATCCTCTAAATCCTTGCCCTCACAGGAGATCTCATCACCACCAGATTCATTGCTGACCGATCTACTTGGACTTACTGCTGAGGACTGATGGGACTCGGGGTCCACAGCCCATTACGGTATCTATCTCAGAACCCCAAGTCCCGCTGGAGGTCTCAGGTAAGACAGTCTGTGTACTTGTGGACATAGAGGCCATCTATAGTGTTCTTCTTGAGTTTTCAGACCCTTATGTTAAGTCCTCAGTCTCTGTAGTGGGTGTTGACGGCCAACCCATGCAGCCCGTGCAGACAGAGCCTATTCCATGCAGGTTCCAGACTCTCTTCATTACCCATAGCTTCCTAGCAATTCCAACATGTCCCACACCCTTTTTAGGTAGAGGTCTTCTTCAAAAACTTAACTTCTTCTTTACCTTCTCCCTCCCCACAGCTCTGTCCTCCAGCCACCCTCACAGTGCACTGCAAAGCCATCCCCTCCTCTCCCTTCTTCTCTGGTCGATCCCATAGTTTGAGATACCTCCAATCCCACCCATGCTACCCATGCCATGCCTACCTATAATCAAGCGCCTTTTAGACAACAGTTTTCTTAAACCTACCCATTTGCCCTACAATACTCCCATTCTCCTGATACTCAAGCCTGACGGGTCTTATTGTGAAGTGCAAGACCTTAGGGTAATCAGTAACGCTGTTACTCCAATCCACCCAGTGGTGATAAACCCTTATACCATGCTCCCTCATATCCCTCCTTCCACTACTCACTTTACAATCATAGATCTTAAAAATGCCTTTTTTTTTTTTTTTTTTTTTTTACCATGCCCACTATGCCCTGATTGTCAGGATATCTTTGTGTTTATGCAGACTGACCCAGACACTGAGGCCTCTTGACTACTAAAGCAGCCAAGAACAAAGGACCATAGGTTTGTTTTTCCCAGCTCTAGACCACCTACTCTCACAAGTAATTTCCTGTCCCCTTTTCCTCTTTTCATGCAAATAAGTTTTTGTACTCCCTTCTAAACCTTATACTTCTTTTTACAACCTCACACTTGCCAGGCAGGTGCTTATGCCACTGAGCTAAATCCCCAGCCTTCTAATTCTTTATTGATGTAAGTTCAGGATTTCCAGTTGGCTGCAGTGTTAGTGTGGCATACACTCTCCTCCCTCTCTGGCACAACACTTCAAAGCCAGCAGATTAGGGACTGAAATGTGTCAAAATAACCCTGTCCTCTTTTGAGTTTTGGGTATTGTGTGTTGGGTATATTGAGTGTTGGGTATTGTGTTCCAGCAATGAGAAAAGTGGCTAAAATAGATTTAGGTCCTGGATTAGTGATGTTGCTGTGATTATTTGATCACACGTCTAGAAACTTTTGGAACTGGTTCTCCGGAAGAGTTGGAAAAGGTTTGAAAAAAAAGCCCGAGTGAGGTAAATCAAGCTTGATGGGAAATTCTGGTCACACCTTAGTAGACCACCACACTCACAGACTTGCAGATGGTAAAGGCCAGGCTCAGGAGACTTCAGTTGGGAACAAGGACTGCACAGGCAGTTGGACTCTAGGTCATTATACTCTGGTACAAAATTCAACATTTTGCTCACATCTTGGAACTTTCCAGAAGACTTAGAATGACGACTAATCTGGTAGAGGAAATTTCAAATGTTTTGGGGGCTTTTAATCAGGTATATAGTGAAAAGGCAAGGGCTTTTGTTTTAAAAGTTTTGTTTTGCCAGGAAGAAAGGGCCCACAAAGATGGACAGAGAGCCTGGTTACAGATTAGCATAAAGAAGAAGCCACGAACTTTGCATCTACACAATAGGAAAAAATGGCTTCAGAGTAGGTCAGGAATCAGTGAGACCCCTCCTTTCTTTACAGGCTCAAACACGCAAGGCTGTAAAGTTTTCACCAGAGAAAAGAGAGCTGGCATTGCACTGGAGAAGAGGCCACACAAGGTGTTGGTACCCTGGATTCAGTTCACATTGTCCAGTCATACAGGCAGAGATCTCTGCAGCTGCTATTCAAGGGGTCCTGCTATGGCTTGAGCTGCAAGACCTTGGCATCACTGCTGGTTTTATAGGAAAACAGAATGCGAGAGTTGTGGGATTATGGAGGATTTCACTCTGATTGTAGAAGGCCTGCGACACCAGGCAGTGTGCACCTGAGATGACAGTAGCCTATGAGACGGCAGTGCATGAAAATGTGAGTGAAGGCAAAAGTGCAGTACAAACATCAGAAAGTGGGAGAAACCAGGAATGTGGAATGTCTAAGCAAAGCTCTCAGAAGTGAGCAATGCCAGCCCAAGACAGAAGACAGGAGGGCTACAACCACCAGCAATCCTGTGGAGATGGGGCCATCCAAGCTCTTTGCAGTTCACAGCCTGCCACAGCCTGCCCCCGGTGCTGGACATAGAACTACAGGATTTAATGTTCTCCCTGCTGGATTTCAGAATTGCTTTGGTCCCGTTGAGTTCTATCCCTCTTTTGGAATGGGAATGTTTAGCTTTGTGTCATTATATGTCAGCAGTGTTTAACTTTCCTTTTGATTTTTATAGGGACTCACAGCTAAGAGTTTGCCTTAATGTGCATTTGTCTAATGGTCAAGTCGAACATTCTGTCATGTTTTATTTTTTTATATACTCATAACTGCCTGCTTGCAAGGCAGGTGCTTATGCCGCTGAGCTAAATTCCCAGCCCCTTCTGTCATGTTTTTATTGGCCATTTGTACTTCTGACAACTGTCTACTTGTTTCCGTAGCCCGTTTCTTGACTGGGCCTTTGGTGTGGTCTAATTTTTCTCAGTGCTTTATCCCACTAAACACCACTTAAGTTACAACTAGCTGCCCACTGGTGTTACCCATAACTACTTTCCTACTGCTATTTACCTATAAGTCACCCAGTCAACCATCACTAATTACCAATTACTAGTCACCAACAGGTGGTTACTCTCAACTAATTTTCCACAACTCAGTGTTGCACTAGTTATCCATAGCTAGTTACTAGTTGCTTGTTACCTGCTACAGGACTGATAAATCACCAATTATCCAGTTAACTCACAGCTAGTTAGCCATTACTGGTTACCTTTTACTAGTAACACAGAACCAGTTAGCCATTACCCTACTTTAAACTAGTTACCCACTAGTTATACACAAACTAATTAACGACAGCTAGTAACCTAGTTATATATAGCTACTAACATACAAGCTACGCACTGTTCATTGCCAATTACTGGCTGCCCATGTGTAGCATAGTAACTGCAGTTACCAATTGGTAATTAGTTACTAATTTTTGGCTACTAAGAACTAGTTATAAACTACTCATTGCCCACTTAAAAACTAGTTACCACTTATTAGCTACCAAGGACTAGTCATCAGTTGTTAACCATGACTAGTTACTGCTGGTTATGCTTCTAGTTATCCATGACCAGTTATCCATCATTAGTTCCCAGTGACTAGTTCAGCATTAGTTAACCACTGCTAGTTGCAAGTTATTAATTACCAATAATGGCACATAACTAAATATCACCAATAATGTTATCAATTACTACTCACAACTAGTTCCCAGTTACTAGGTGTCCATAACTAATTAGCCATTACTAGTTATCAGCAACCATGACTAATTATCTACAACTAGTTACCAATGAGTAGCTATCCAGTTACCAGTAACCAAGACTAGTCACAACTAATTACCAGTGACTAGCTGGCCATTAACCAGTTAACTAGCAGTAACCAGAACTAGCTTTCCACCTGTCCCATTAGTTTTCCAGTTAACCACAGCTAGTTACCACTAACTAGGACTAGTCAGCCACTTATTACCAGTAACCAAGACTAGTCACAACTAGTTACCAATGCCTAACTGCCCACATCTCGTTAGTCACTAGTTACCAGTAATCAGGACTAGTAACTCACAACTAATTACCAATGACTGGTTGCCCACAACTAATCACAAGTAACTAGGACATGTTACCCACAATGACTAGTTGCCCACAACTAATTAACCACAGTTACCCTAGTTACCAGTACCCAGACAAGTTACCCACAACTAGTTATCAATGAATACTATGCCATGCATAGCTTTCCTCTGGGATACCACTCTTCCTTGGTGCTGATCAACTATCCAGGACTAAAACATCCATGTGTGCCAAAATAAACCTCTTCATCTTTAAGGAGAAGAAAGACTGCTTGAGGTTCACACCGACACGTGACAAATTTTAGTATAAGTGGTGTATTCTAAAAGAAAGGGGTCAACTCAGAGCTACCACACTGTGTGCAGTATGTTTATTTACAAAGAATGATAAAGACTTAATGTTAGCCATCATGAGGTAGAAGAAGAATTTTTAACAGACAGGACTTAGACGCAATTAAGTCTTTAAGAGGGAATAGAGTTTTTGGAACACAAGTACTTTCTTGTTTGAGTGTATTCTCCTAAAAGTGGGTTGTCACTAGCGAGTCCAACACCTCGCCTGAAACTCTCACTTCCTATCTCAGCATGAGACCTTCTTCCTTCCCCACATGTTCCCATCATGATTCCACCTGCCAGGAGGTCCTCACCAGAGCTGAAAAGATACTGGGCTATGCTCCTGCAAGCTAAACAAAGCTCTTTTGTGTAGAAATTAATCAGCCACAGATATTTGTTACAGCAACACAAAACAGACCAAGATAGGCAAGTGAAAAGTTCCAAAATAACACATCAGCAACTTTGGTCATGAAAAAACAGATGTTCTCAATCTGAGACACACAAAGGGAAGTCCAAGACTCTCTGAAACTAAGAGCAAAGTTCTGGGTATGTGTCAATAGGGTATTTAGTACGTATAAGGATGTATAGCTCTCATCAGATTTTAAGGGTCTAGGAACCAAATAAAGAATACGGCTATCTTAGTTAAGCAATGAAGTGACTCAACTATGAAGCTAAAGATGATGTATTTACATGATACACACTTTAAGAAGCAATGATTTAAAGCAGATGGTTATTAAGTCCGTTACAGTGCACATCTGTTAACTCTATATATCTTCACAGTGTGATCTTCACCACAGCTTGCAAAGTGTAACCACTCAGCACCTTCTCCTTCACTCTGTTCAGCTTTTCCATTGCAATTCTTCCAGCATAATTTTCTGATAGCAAGTGTATGACTTTGGCTAAAAGCAGGATAGAAGAATCATAAAATTAATGTATACCATGACTATAAAATTTTTTATTAGGTGCTCACTTACATATTAATTTACATAGTTCTAATATTAATATCAGAAACACAAATAGAAGTAAAAACCTGAAAATTATAATGTACATATTTTTAATACCACCACCAGTATCTTGGCAATTGTATTTTAACTTGAAAAGTATCTTACTGTATTTACCTTTACTTTTAAAATGGTCAGACAAGGTGGGGACTATAGCTTAGTAGCAGAGCACTTGCCCAGCAAGTGCAAGGCCTTAGGTTCAATCCCCAGCACTGGAAAAAGTCAGATGTCTTAATGATCACATTTCATAAAATGACTATTAAAGTCAGTTTTTCAGCTAACAGTGCTAAAGACATTCTTTTTCTAAGAATTTCAACTTTGCCATGTACTCACATTCCTATGAGACAGGCAGGCTTTTACTCATATTTTTAATGAAAGACTTAACACTACACACCAAAACAGTCTTGGTCTTTTGTGGACCTGCACCGAGCAAGATAACCATATTAAGGCTGCCTATTACCCTGAGAGTCTCTAAAAGGGCAGACCCAGGAACTATCAAACACAAGTTAGCACTAAATGTCTATGAAAACGAACATCCTCTCTACATTTTACCTGCAAAGTAGATCCCAAACCAAAAAGGAATGAAGTGCGACCTCTAAGTAGATCTGAACCCTGAAAACGCTACTGGTGCACATGAATTACAAAGTCAGACGCTGAAAGACCCTGTCAGCAGATGGACTCGCAGGACACAAAGAATGGCTCACTGAACATGACAGCAGCTTAGTAGGTTTTTGTGTGATTTCTTCACCAGGAGAGCTGGGCCTATAAGCAAGCAACCATGTCGAAGGGATGTGTAGCTGGCACTGATCTTAGCACAACCTACTCCTGTATGGGTGTCTCCCAGCATGGAAAAGTGGAGATAATTGCCAATGATCAGGGAAATCAAACCACTCCAAGTTATGTCGCTTTCACTAAAGATTGATCAGAGATACTGCAAAACAACTCATCAGAGATGCTGCAAAAAATCAAGTGGCAGTGAACCCCACCAACACAGCTTTTGATGCCAAACATCTGATTGGACGTAGATATGATGATGATGCTATTGTCCAGTCTGGTGTGAAGCATTGGCCCTTTATGGTGGTGAATGATGCAGGCAGGCCCAAGGTTCAAGTAGAATACAGAGAGAAAGAGTTTGTCCAGAGAAGGTGTCTTCTACAGTGCTGACAAAGGTGAAGGAAACTGCAGACGCGTATCTTGGGAAGACTGTTACCAATGCTGTGGTTACTGGGCCAGCTTACTTTAATGACTCTCAGCGTCAGGAACCAAAGATGCTGGAACCATTGCTGGTCTTAATGTACTTGGAATTATCAATGAGCTGCTATTGCTTATGGCTTAGACAAAAAGGTTGGAGTTGAAAGAAATGTACTGATTTTTGATTTAGGAGGTAGCACTTTTGATGTGTCAATCCTCATGACTGAAGGTGGAATCTTCAAAGTGAAATCTACAGCAGGTGACACCCCCTTAGGTGGAGATGATTTTGACAACTGAGTAGTTAGTCATTTTATTGCTGAATTCAAGTGCAAGCATAAGGATATCAGTGAGAACAAGAGAGCTGTCCACTGTCTTTGTACTACATGTGAATGAGCTAAGAGAACTCTCTCCTCCAGCACCCACGCCAGTACTGAGACAGATTCCCTCTATGAATGAATTGCCTTCTGCACCTCCACTATTTGTGCTTGATTTGAAGAGCTGAATGCTAACCTATTCTGGAGCACTCTGGACCCTGTGAAGAAGGCTCTTCAAGATGCTAAGCTGGACAAGTCACAGATCTAGGACGCTGTCCTGATGGGTGGTTCTACTCATATCTCCAAGATCCAGAAGCTTCTGCAAGACTTCTTCAGTGGAAAAGAATTAAGAGCATCAACCCTGATGAGGCCATTTATGGTGCAGCTGTTCAGGCAGCTATTCTATATGGAGACAAGTCCGAAAATGTTCAAGGTTTGCTGCTTTTAGACGTCACTCTTCTTCTCTTGGTGCCGAAACTCCTGGTGGACTCACGGCAGTCCTCACCAAGTGTAATATTACCATTCCTACCAAGCAGACACAGACCTTCACTACCTACTCTGACAACCAACCAGCCTGGTGTGCTCATTCACGTAAATGAAGGTGAGGGTGCCATGACTAAGAATAACAACCTGCTTGGCAAGTTTGAACTCACAGCACCTTGTGATATTCCTCAAATTGAAGTCACTTTTGATACTGATGCCAATGGCATCCTCAATGTCTCTGCAGTGGACTAAAGTACAGGAAAAGAGAATAAGATTGCTATCACTAATGATAAAGGCATCTGAGCAAGGAGGATCTATGGCGTATGGTCTCCAGGAAGCAGAGAAGTACAAAGCTGAAGATGAGAAACAAAGGGATAAGGTGTCCTCCAAGAATTCACTGGAGTCCTATGCTTTCAATATGAAAGCCACTGCCAAAGGTAAGAAACTTTAGGGCAAGATCAATGATGAGGATAAACAGAAGATTCCTGACAAGTGTGATGAAATCATCAACTGGCTGGATATGAATGAGACTACATTGGCAGAAGGAGCTGGAGAAAGTCTGCAATTCCATCGTCACCAAGCTGTACCACAGTGCAGGAGACGGGCTTGGAGGAATCCTGGGCGTTTCCCTGGTGGAGCGGTCCTCCCTCTGGTGGTGCTTCCTCAGGGCCCACCACTGAAGAGGTTAAGCCAACTTCAAATACAGTGAGTTAGCATTCTTTCACAACAGTAATGAAATTGAAGGACCTACATTTGTAGCAAGTTCTGTAGCAGTTATTAAGGTTTAACTGCTATAGTAAAGTACTGGGCATTCTCAATACTTAAGCAATGGAACATGTACCCAGGGAAAAGAACACTGCACTTTGATAAGCACTGTACTATAAGTGGAAATGTAAGGTCTTCAATAAAACTACTTAAAATTGTCAAAAAAAAAAAAGAAAAGAAGTAAGAATGAAGCATACATCTGAAGTAGTGAAAGACAATTTAAAAGGCACCAGGCCCTATGCAATGACACGCCCTTGCGAGCCGTCAGTCCATCAGCGCTGCTTTGCCATGTTATCTGAAATCCTGCTAGAAGAAAGGCTTTCTTATGAGGCGACCGTCGCTTCAGGACCTCTCAATGAGAGCTCATCTTCCTTTGAGGTAATCTGATTACTGAAAGCAGTCCAGAGTCATTTGGGGGTGATCTTTAGAAATAAATATGAAAGGCAGGCAAGCTTAAAACTTGAATGGTAAGCTTTTTGGAAAAGGCAAGTAATAAGAATATTAAAACTCTTTCATTTCATTAAAAGAATGATTGGAAATAATGACATCATTGAAACAAATATATTTCTTTCTGAAGGAGTTATCTGAGGGCCAGTACTTCTCTGGCTATAAAGGTCTTTTGGAGTTTTGGGGGGCAGTAGTTTTGGTTTTTTTGAGACAGGGTCTTGCTAAGTAGTTCAGGCTGGTCCTGAACTAGCCCAGGCAGGCCCTGAACTTGCAGCAAACCTTCTGCCTCAGCCTGCCAAATGCTCATTTCAGGCATACAACATGTCCGGCCTAGTATTTTATTTTTATTTATTTTTTTGTCTTTTCGAGACAGGGTCTTTCTATGCAGTTCAGGCTGGCCTTGAGCTCATTTTGTATCCCTGGCTGGTCTCGAACTTGCAACCATCCTCCTGCCTCAGTCTCCCGACTGCTGGGAATACAAGCATGAGCCACCACACCCAGGTCTGGCCCGGTATTATTAAATTTAGCATGCTGATGCAACGCATTTAAAAGGTATGATGGGCTAGGGATGTAAGTCAGTGGTAGAGTGTCCTGGGTTCCAGCTCTGGTATCACAAAAGTGGATAAAACAAAATAAAGTAAAATAAATGGAGTTTGAGAAGCCAACATAAAAGACAATGCTTCTTTCTTTGAATTTCATTGTAGCAAACACTACAAATTTGGTAACTGGAATATCAGCAATATAAATAATATATAATGTGTTAGGTCAAGAATTAGTTGCACCTTGCAAGGCCTAAGTCATTATGATGCTAAAGGAAAAAAAACCCTTAAAATTCTTGTATGTCCTTCGCTTATGCTTTCTAAGGGGATTCCTGCCAGTGTCCTATACAGGGTCCAAAGAAGCAGTCTGGGTACCAGGTCAATGGCAGAGCAAACACTGTAGATGAGCAAGGGAAAGAAAAAGAGAAGCCTAGGGTGGGGGAGCCCAGGAAGACAGAAAATGTCAAATGATTTCAATACGGAGTTTCGGTGAGTTTCTCCATGCTTCAACAAACCAGTACTATAAATGATTACAATTGCTAAACCCAGTGTCAGAGATGGGAGAGAAACTGGTAGATTACCTAACGGGTATCTTGTAACACCCAGCTGAACTGAATCAGCGTGGTGCTGGGTATGGAGAGCCCAACTGAGGATTGTTGCCAGCAGCATAAAAAGAGAACTGGAGGGGAAGGAAGATAGTGCTGCTGATTCTCCAGGAGATGCATGTCACACTGGTTTTCCTGATACGAACTCGGCTGTTCTGTCAGAGGAGCTTGGGACCTTGTTATCACAGAGGATGGTTGTGGTCCACTTTGTGGGGAGCTCTGGTGCTTACTTTGCGCATTGCTTCCTGGCTCTGGAGGGGAAGATGGTGCACTGCTAATTATCCTGAAGAAGTTTGTCATGCTGGCTTCCCAATGTGAACTCAACTGTTCTCACTGGAAGAACCTGGGATTTCGTTGTTGTAAGGATGGTTGCCGTTTTTTGGGGGAACTCCAGCCCTTTTGAGTGTTGCTTCCGAGTTCCAGTGCAGATCTCTTTAGCCTACTGACACAGATCCTTCATCCCACTGGTGCAGACTTCCTAGTTTCCACCACTGACCTTAGGACCTTCCCAGTGCAGATCCTTGATACAGACTTGCATGAGACATTGTCCTGGGCTCTAGGCCTCCAGCTGGACTCGTACAGGACACTGCCGGGGGATCCAGGTCCTTAGCTGGATTCTCTGGGTCTCTAGTGTGTGAATAGATCTTCCACACTCTTGCATTTGACTCTTTGGGTCAACATTATAAAATCCTAAAAACTATGCGCCCTATATTAAGTTGTTTCCCTTGTAAACCTTGACTACAACAGAAACCATAACAGCTATAGAAATAAAGGCAGAATCGCACTTTAATAAATATAAGGAGCACTAAAATGCTTGGCTAATAAGGAGATAAGCTCTATTGGGTATCCTGTAAATGACAATGCTCACAAATCTCTTTCCATTAAGTCATTCACTGTCATCATGATACTATCATTTATAAGTGTACCTGAAATTGTATTTGGAGCAGTACAGATATATGAAGGCTGAAGAAGCCTAAAACAGCAGGTTTATATGGTCTATGTGAGCTCAAGGAACAAAGGCCACGCCCATGGCATGAGGCTCAGGAAGCCTTTGCTGTGGCTGAAAGCTTTCAGGGACACCCAATACTTTTTTTTTTTTTCCCTTTGTCTTTTTCCTTTTTATCAGTACCGGGGATCTAACTCACGACTGCCTGCTTGCAAGGCAGGCGCTTATGCCGCTGAGCTAAATCCTCAGCCCCGACACCCAATACTTTGCTCTACAGGATTCAACACAATGAATTTCAAGAGTATGCCTTAATAATGTCAAAGATTTCTGTCCCTCTATATGAAAATGTGATATAAAAATTGCCACTAAAGACTCCATAATTTATACTTAACTCCAATGAAAGCAAAAATAGGAAGGAAATACCTTTGGTTTGTTTCTATACAGTGGATCCAGTCATTTATTTCTGGAATTTGATCAGTTTTTTTCCAGGTATATATGCAAATCTTTCCACACTCTAATCCAACTGCCACCACATATCTGTTTTAAGAAAGGAAGATGACTGTAATTAATTTAGCATGAATTTCCACTATCTCCATCATTACTCCAAGGCAGTTCGTTACACTGCCTCCCTGGCTTATAGAGGACTGTGTTTAAAAGTATCAGCCCAATGATGCTGTGTCGCTCTACTGTGTCCTCAGGAACATTAACTCTACAGAGGTTGCATACATGAGCTGGCTTCAAGGACACCTGTTTCAAAATGCTTGTTACAGAAAAAAGGACTACAGTCCTGTAGACGGTGAAACTAAAAACCTTCCCAGCCACATTCCTAATATTTCATATTTCACCAGTCTAAGCTACTGAGTTCTATTAAGGCAAAATTTATGAGAAACATCAAGCATTTTGAAAATAACAGTAACTTGGAAGCAACAAGAACATATGGATTAAAATAAGTGAGAAAGCAAGTGGCCATCTTAAAACCAAGGCCCCCCGCAGACCTACCTTTGGGAAGGGTTAAGCACCCGGCAGACACTGACAGCTGTCACAGCCCCGCCCACGTCTAGGACTGAGGAGCAGGGCCCAATGCTGTGCTCAGTGGAGTCATCGCTGGAGTCACACTCACCCCAGACCACCACCTAGCAGAGAGAACACACTTGTAAAGTTTTCTTTTGGCAACGTTTTGGCAGAGAAATATTTACTCTGATATATAAAAACTTGCATTTACATTTGTGTATGATTCTAGAACTCTGGAGCATTTCAAGCATCAGAGAGAAGGCACAGCGTGGCAGATACCGGTCTTTTGAGACTTGGTGGTTTGCAGATGGACCATCTCCACCCAGAAACCATGAGCACATCTAACGTGTCCTTTGTATTCACAAACCAATTCTGATTCACTAAAAATTCTACCCATCACATTCCTACTAAAAATTATCATAAAATTTATGGAGGCAGACCAATCAAGCTACAGACCAGTCTCCAGATTTTCTTCTACCCTGACCACTGCTCAGGGAACTCAAATATTAGGAGAACTCACAAGAAATGAGGTTTTCCTGAAGTTCCTGCCTCAAGGGTATGTGACTGATCATAAAGAAAAAGAGAGGGAAGTTAAACAGCCAACAGTTGCAAGGTTTTGAACAGAAAGCTCTGGCCAATCAAGCACAGACACACTGCTGACAGTGTTCACGGCAAGGTGTCTGTTCTGCTCAGCCCTTGACCTATCTCTGAGAGCTGCAGCCAAGCCACCTCTACCAGCCACGACTGCAGTCTTTCTGCAAATGAGCAGAAGGGATGGTCAGGGAGAAAGACGCTGAGAAGCCGGCACTGAAGTGATTAACCTGAGTAGCACAATGCCTACACCAGCCCTCCCCTGCGGTAACTGGTAACGCATCTAGGACTGGGAAGAGGAAAAGAAATGTTAAATCGCCTGGTGGGCTTCCTCAGCCTCTGGCCTACTGGTTTACAGAGCATGGAAACAGGAAAGAACAGGCCAGGCAGACATTTCCGAGAGAATCAGAGTGAAGGTCACATTCAAGAACATATAGCTAACATGTTTTTCTCTTTTTAAAACTTGGGTCACACTCTTCACCTCCATTCTACTACTGGATAAAAAGGTTATAGTCCTAAGTTATAGACAAACATTTAAGTTCATTAAATAAATCAGAAAAGTAGAAGTAATTTTTCCCCTTATGCTCTCTTCTCTCCAAGTTTCTTAGTTTTGATCCATTTATCCCCTTCTTCCACTTGGGCTATTTGATGAAGGGAATGTGTATAAAAGGTTTTCTCTGTATATGTATTTTTTTGTTCTCTCTTTTTTTTGTAGATAGCATCTTGCTGTGTGGTTCAGACTGGCCTTAAATTCACTTTGTAGCCCAGGCTGACCTTGAACCTTGATCCTTCTGCGTTAGCCTCACAAGTGCTAGAATTAGAGGCCTGTGCTACCACGCCTGGCTTTTCTGTGTATTTGCTATTTTAGAGAAATATATTACAGAATTTAATAAGATTTTTTAAAAGTCTTTTTAATGTATATGATATGAAAAATACAAGGGATTCATGAACTGATTTTTAAAAGTTGTGTAAAGCAGAATTATGTAATTTTTTATTCATACCTATGGAAATGTTATTTTATATTTGAATATTAAATTCAGGACCAGGCAAGTGCAAGGTTGTGAGTTCAATCCCTGGTACAAAAAAAAAAAAAAAAGAAAGAAAGAAAGAAAGAAAGAAAGAAAGAAAATTACCTTTTTGTCTCGACTCCCAGTGAAGAAATACTTGCCATCAGGACTCCAATCACATGACCAAATAATTCTACTGTGCACAGAAGTGACTTTATTGGTGAAGGCAAAGAGAATAAAAATTGGATCTGAAAATAAAAATATTTATACCCCACTCACAAAGCAGAAGTTATTTTTTACCAATCAGGAAGCTCTTTTTAATGACAAACACTTAAGGAGACTCAGCCATCAATTTATATATGCTTCACTTCTGGTGACAGACTGAGGCCTGGAAACTGACCTCTCACCAGAAAGCTGTGGGCATGTAGTTACTAGGGCGTTATTTTTTTACCTTTTAGTCACTCTAGTGGCTGATGACAAACATTTCTCAGTAAACTAAGGTTCGATTTATGACTATGGAAAAAATTTGATGCAATTTAGTTTTACTCTGGAAGTAGCCAGATTTGCATATTGGGCTATGCAAAAAAAAAAAAAAAAAAAAAAAAAAAAAAAAAAAAAAAAAGGAAAGGAAAAAGATTAATGGACTGTTTAGATGTTAGAAAGAGAAAAACACTGTTAAAGAAATATTTTCCTGCCAGGCATGGTGGCACATGCCTATAACCCTAACACTTGGGAGGCGGAGGCAGGATTGCCATGAGTTCAAGCCCAGCTTGGGTTACATAGTGAACTCAAGACCAACCTGAACTACACAGCAAGACCCTATCTCAAAAACAAAACAAAAAAGAAGTATCTTCCTCATAGGAGTTAAATATAAAGTAACTTCTAAGCCTTATATAGACTAAACCTAAAACATGTAACTGCTTTATTAGCACTATTTTTTTTTTACTTTAAAGAGAAAAAACAAAAAATTTCAAAAGATAATTAGAGAACAGTCAATACACTGCATATTGTTATCTTTAGTTACTCAGAGTACAAGATTTAACTGTCCAAATGATGTTGTACAAAACCTTCTTTTTCAATGAACTAAGAGAAATTAGTAGTACAACTATCTTAACTGTATAATTATCTTAACTATTAGTAGTATAACTATCTTAAATATATAGAATTTCTTTCGGCTTCTCACACTAGGAAGACAATACAATGTTTACACAATGAGTTTGATTTGACTTATGAATTCAGTGTCTAGTTGCATCCATTTACCTCTAAAAGTCTCAAGTTTATCCTTCTTGATGACTGAGTAATACTCTGCTGTATAAAAATACTATCTCTTTTTTATCCATTCTTTCATCGATGGGCATTTAGGTTGCTTCCAAGATCTAGCTATTACAAATTTTTATTAGCACTATAATTATTAATAGCACTTTAACTTCTACAAAATTCATGCTACATTTTAGTATTCACCCTGATAAATCCCCGGTAACCTGAAAACATTGAGTCAAAAATGTATTTAATACACGCATCCTACCAAACATCACAGCTTAGCAACACAGCGTGCTGCAGAGCACTTGCTGTTGCTCTTTATGATCACACAGGCAGCTGCACGCTGCAACTTGTGACCACTGCCCAGCATCATGTGCCGTAAACAACTAGCACAGAAAAGGATCAAAATTCAAAATCTGAAGTACAAGGCCTGCCAAATAGTATGACTTTTGTACCATCATAAAGTCAAAAAATCCTAAGTCAAACCATCATGAGTTAGGTCCCATCTGTAATCTATTCTAATACACATTACTGCACAAGTTTTATAGTTTCTATTCTCTGAAACATAATAAAGGATTAGAAATACCTCAAGATCAAAGTGTATGCAAGTCATATGAATGGAAGATTTTGTCTTCATCTTGTTTCATATTTCTCTTAACCTACCAGCTGCTTGATGGGGATACAATGTACGTAAGTATTCCACTGATAATCTTCCCAATGGGAAGCTGCTTTACTAGGCCAGCATGGTGTCGCACACCTGTAATTACAGTACTTTGGAGGCTGAGGGATCCTTACAATTCAATGCCAGCCTATACTACAAAGCAAGACTCTGTCTCAAAAAATCAAAAGAAAAAGCTTTACCAAACTCTGGTGAGCTTATATCCTGTCTTTTCCACAATGACCAGGTTCGGTCTCTGGAAACAGCTAGTAAGAACTTGTCATTAGGCGAGAAGGCCATCTGCGTGACAGTCAGACTGTGGAAAACTAAATTCTGCACTTGTTTCCAAGACGCAGTGTTCCAAAGTATGATAGCTGCATGCTCTTTCTTAGCTGCCTGTAGGATACAAGTGAAACAATGAAGCTATTTAAATAGAAATAAACCAAAGGAAACGTTTTTTAAAATACTGTATTATTCAGGTGTAAAAAAACAGCAAAGTTGGTTTACTGGTGTTTTTCTTTCTTAATGGCCTACTCAGTTGTGGTGGTGCACACCTGTAATACCTGCACTCTGGGAGGCTATGGCAGAAGGATCACACATTTAAACCCCTGCCTCAGCAATTTAATGACTCACTTAAGGGCACCCAAAATAAAGGGATGCAAGTGTAGATCAGTGTGAAGGTCCTTGGTTCAATCACCAGTACATACAATGTAACACACAAAATAATGATAATACATAAGTTAAAAATTAATGTAGTTTATAAATGAAAACAAGAGACAGAAAAAAGGAAAACATGACAAAAATCCTGCACCTGCTCCTAATAAACGCTGAGAAAAGCAGAAGATATAGGGGAGAACATTTTTGCAACCAGATAAAGAAGTCATGAGAAAGTTATACAAACATCATTCTTTTTGTTGTTATATCATTTTTGTCTAGTTTTGTATTTCTGAGACAGGTTCTCGCCATGTAGTGCAGGCTGGCCTTGAATTCACTATGTATTCCAGGCTGGCCTCAGGCTTGCAGCAATCCTCTTACCTCAGCCTCTTGAGTTGGAATTACAGGTGTACAACACCACACCCTGTTACAAACATCATTCTTAATGGACAAACATTAAATGTTTTGTTTCTGATACGAAGATCAACACAAAGACTGCTGCTGTCACTTTATTTGATCAGTTATCGATTGGCATGATCACAAAACGTATCAGACATTCAATATAGCAAAGGAAGAAATAAACTTTTCTCATTCATAGGCAATATAAGTATCTATGTGAAAAATCCTATAATATCTACAATAAATGCACTAGGACTAATAAATCCACCAAGGGCAGAAGATCAGTATGCAAAAGGCAACTGTATTTCCGTATGTAAAAATTGAGCAATAAGATATAAACACACAAAAAAAGACAAATCTGCAAAATGTGTATAAGACCTAACACTGAAAACTGTAAATATTCTCAGTAATGCTAAGATGTTAACATTGGAAAAAACTAGGAGAGAGGAATATGAACATTCTAGGTAATAATCTCTGCATTTTCTTAATTCTAAACCTGGGTAAGTGGTATACACCTGTAATTCCAACACTTGGGAGGCTGAGGCAGGAGGATCACCATGAGTTTGAGGCTAGCCTGAACTACAGTTAGACTGTATCTCAAAAAAGGAAAAAAAAAACCAAAACCCTAAAAGATTTCTTAAAAAAAACAATTTCTGAGAGAAATTAAAGACCTAGTAGGTACATACTTCATTCACATGTCAAAATACTCAACAGTTCTCTAGATATACAGATCCAATGTAATATCCACAAATTCCTGCACTTTGTTTTTTGTAGAAACTGCCAAGTTGATTGTAAAATGAAATGTAATGAGTGTAAAATATAACACTCAAGTTGGAAGACAATTTCTATTTTAATTTCTGAGTTTCAAACTGTATTATAAAACTATAATTATTGATAAATTATTGATTGGCATGATCACAAAACATCAGTGGAACAAAATAAAGCCTAAAAATAGACCTATTACCTATACCAACAGCTGACTTTCAAGTAGAGGGGTAAAAGCCAACACAGTGGTAAAGGAACAGTCTCTTCAACCAGTGATGCTGGAATAACTAGATATCCACATGAAAGAAATCAATATGCATCTGTACTCCACACCAAAATGCAAGAGTGTGTGCCTACAATCCCAGCACTCAGGAGGCTGAGGAAGGAGGATTGTTGCAAATTTTAGAGACCAGCATGGGCTACAAAGTGAGCTTATGGCCAGCCTGTACTGCAAGCAAGACCCTGTCACAAAAGGACAATAAATAAACAAACATTAAAAAGAATGAAAATAAAACATTTTCCTTAATTTAAATGTAAAACTCACAAATTATAAAACTCCTAGCACATTGTAGCATAAATCACAAATGTAGCATAAATCTTTGTGACCTTGATTCAGGCAAAGATTTCTGAGACAACATGAAAGGTACAACCCAATATAGAAAAAAAATAGTAAGTTGACTTTCACCAAAACACAGGACTTCAGCTCTTAGATTATTAGAAATGAAAGGAGAAACCACTGGGAAAACATCCATGTAGCACATATCTGATGAAGCTGTATCCAGGGAACATAAAGGACTTTTGCAACTCAGTAATAAGAAAATCCAACAAAGAAGGGATGAACATGTATTTCACCAACAAGATACATAGATGGCTAATTAGCACGTGGCAAACTAGCACATGGAAAAAATGATCAATATAATTAATAACTAGAAAAATGTAAGTGATAGCTACAATAAGCTATTACATACCTACTAGAATAAAGACTGACCATACCAACTATTGGTGGGTGCACAGCAACTGGGAACTGCTATATGGCTTGTGGGACTGTAAAACGTGTAACTAAGTAGGAAAGTAGTCTAAGAAAACCTTAAAAATTTAAAAGTATATCTAAACCAGATGTAGTGGAGCATGCCTGTAATCCCAGTACTTGGGAGGCCGAGGCAGGAGGATCATTGTGAGTTTGAAACCAGCCTGAGTTACAAATGAACTCGGAACTCAAGGCCAGTCTGAACTGCATAGTGAGATCATGTCTCAAAAACATCCCCCCAAAATAAAATGAAATACAATAAAATATAAAAGTACATCCACCATATCACTCAAAAATTCCACTGATAGACATGTGCTGGAAAAATATGAAATAGCCAGGCATCATGTTGCATTCCCGCAATGCCAGCACTCAGGAGGCTGAGGCAGGAGGACTGCTGCACGTTGGAAGCCAGCCTATGCTACACAGTGAGCTCAAGGCCTGCCTGAACTACACAGTGAGCCTCTGTCTCAAAAACAAAAAAATGAAAGCATGTATTCATACTTGTGCAAAGACTTGGACACACGTTTCTAACTAGTCACTTGGTAAAAGCTAAGCTCTAGAAAACAAGTCAAATCTCTATTATTAAGTGAACAAATCAGTAAACTGTGGTACATCTACAAATGGAAATCTACTCCACAATAAGGAACAGACTACTGATATATACAACAAGGATGAATCTCAAATAACTACATGAAAGAAGCCTTCCCACTCAAAAGAATACGGGTTATACAGATGGAATCACATAATGTTAATAAATGGAAAGCCAGGCATGGCGGCACACTTTTGTAATCCCAGCATCTGGGAGGCTGAGGCAGGAGGATCCTTGTGAGTTTGAGACCAGCCCAGGCTACAAAGTGAGCTCAAGGCCAGCCTGAATGGCATAGCAAGACCCTGCCTCAAAAAGACAAAAAAAAAAAAAAAGAAAAAAAAGAAAGAAAGAAAAGAAAAGAGATCACAACAGAAAGCAGATTAGAGGTTTTTAAGGATAGAGAGAGGGTAGGATATGGGGCACAGTGTAGATGAGATGCTCAGGAAAAAGGAATTACCTAGAGGCATAAAAACTGGGTATTAAAGGATATTTTCATTATCTTGATTGTGACAGGTAATTTACAGGTGGAGTACATGTCTAAAGTTATCAAATTGTCTTGCATATTAAATATGTAATTTAAAATATTTTAATGGCACCTCAATAAAGATCTATGAAATGTTAATTTAGAAATGCACATACAAGTAAGCCAAATTGAAAAGGGATAATCAGTACCACGATAATCAGCATCCTGAACTAAAGACAAACCAGCTGCTCAGTAGAGGAACAACCATTTGAGCTACTGAGCCCCATTCTTCCCTCTCAGATTCCCAGAACGCAGTATAGCTGACTCTTGAGCAACATGGGTTTGAACTGTCTCTTACCCAGATTTCTTTTGGAGATTTGTAACAATTTGAAAAAAATTGAAGACAAACTACATAGCCAAGAAATAAAGAAAAAATTAAGAGAAAGTGATATCATGTTTGCATAAAATATTTGAGGACAATAAATTCACATTACCACAAAAAATAGACACAAACCTCTTACGTAAGGACTACTATAATGCAGTAAACTTGACAGACACCCTGTTGCCTTTGTAAGGAGTTGAAGTTATTGTTATGGCTTAGATCTAAATGTCCCCCAAGCCAGGGATTTAGCTCAGCGGCATAAGCGCCTGCCTTACAAGTGCAAAGTTGGTCCGGAGTTCGTTCTGTAGTATCCCCCCCAAAATAAATAAAAACTAAAATAAAATAAAATGTCCCCCAGGTCAAGTATAGTGGTGTGTGTCTGTAATCCCAGCACTTGGAAGGCTGAGGCAAGAGGATTGATGTAAGTTCAAGGCCACCCTGGGCTACATAGTGAGTTTAAGGCCAGCCTGGACTACATGGTGAGATCTTGTCTCAGAAAATAAATAAATAAAATAAAAAGATATAATGTCCCCCAAAAGTCCCACATTTGGAGGCAGGGACTGGTCAGAAAGGGCAGGTAACTGGATGGTCATGTTTCAGCAGGGTGTATTCCTGTCCTTGGCTCCTCTCCCCTATTTTTTGGCCACCACGGGCATGAGCTGTCTTCCTCTGTCACGAACTTGCACCAAGTTGTTTCTGCCTTGAAGCCATCTGAACATGGATGAAGTCCACTGAAACTGAGCCAAAATAAACTTCTCCACACTGAAGTTGCAGATGTTGAGTATTTTGTCCTCGTGGCAGGAAAGACAAACTCAGTTACATATGTGGGCTGGGATGTAGCTCAGAGGTAGACCATTGCCTACCATGCATGAGGCCCTGGATTCAACTCCCAGCAATACACACACAGGAAGTTAAATGCAGATTTTTCAACTGTGCACAGGGGCTAGCATCCCACCACTGCATTGTTCCAGGGTCAATGGTCCAGTATTTAAAAACAAAAATGTACAGCTAAAATAGATTTAAAATGCAACTACAACCTTGTGAAAGGATGAAACGAAAAGAGAGCTTTAAAAAGTGTGATTCAGGAAAAGCAGACACTGGTGATCTTTCACACAGAGTTCTGCTTCAATCTTTACCAAACTTGCAGGAGTGTTCATGATCAAGTACAATGAAAAGTAAAATTCCCTACCTTGCAAGCTGAAGCAAGCAGAGTCTTTGAATTGTTACAAGTAACAGAAAATATTTCATAGCCATGTCCATATCTAAAAGACAAAAATGCATGACTTCTATATTAGTGAATGTATCTATTCTCATACTGCAAAAATTTAACAAGTAAAAAGATTAACATCTATCTCTCCAGCTAACATATATTTCTTTTAAAAATTACATTTTTGTGCAGACAATATTTGGGGAAAACAGGGAGACTGGAGAAAAATGCCCGTTTCTTAAAATAACACAGGACATTCACAACTAGATTAACCAACGGCTTTTTACCTCCTACTCCCAACCAGCAAGTACAATAAACCATCATGGAAAAAAGTTGATGCAACCCACCAAAGACAAAAAAGCTCAGCTAGAAAGATGAAACTTAAACCTTTTTCAAGGAAAAATATGTCATGCTTGTCTACTTTAAAAAGTAAGACCAATAAGTCTAATAAATAAGAACATAAAAATCAACATGAGTTTTATTCTTATTCCTTTGAAGGGCTACTAAAAAGATCTATAAAGCATGACGAAAACATAGGCAGGAGAAAGGTAAAGCACAAAACCAAATTGAAGTGGAGTGTGACTGTGCACGCCTATAATTCTCAGGAGGCTGAGGCAGGAGAGTCACTGGAAGTTAAGAGGCCAGCCTAGGTTACACAGTGAGTTGAAGGCCAGCCTGAACTACATAGTCAGATTTTGTCTCAAACAAACAAACAAAAAAATCAAGATGATGGGGAAGCATGTATTATCATAGAATCAGACCAGAAATAATTTAACTTACAGTTTTTGAACTTCAGGCCACAAAGTATTCTGTAGAAGATGATCTTCAGTGGGAGGTTCTATAATAAATATATAGTATTCCAATTATTTTTTAATTTTTAGACCAAATATAGGAAATTCTATAGCACATATTTAGGTCAGCAGTGATATACCATACAGTGTGTACTAGCAATTTTATTAAATCATGTTTTTGTCATTTCTTACCGGTAAGCAGGGAGGGTTGAAAGGGCACCTGGTGATACTCGAAACCAGTATTCGTGAATAGCTCTTGCTCATCAGAAGGCTGAGAAGCCATGTCTCCTATGTAAAAAAATGCATCATCATGAACGGAGTCACCATCTTTAGGTCACTAATACCACCTCAGTATTAGTGAGTTATTAGGCTGTCAGTTATTATCAGTGACGCCTCAAAATGGCACACTTCAGAGCTGTATCCACATGGTTCCAAAGCCAAAGTTATTCTACTGTGCCAGTATTTTCCAAATTAGAAGCATTAATCACTTGCATAAGGCCAGGAATTTAGCTCACCTGCCTGGCAAGCTTAGGTCAAGAGTTCAATTCCAGGTACCAAAAAGAAAAGAAGAAAAAAACCTAATTCCATAAAGATTCCTGCCACTTTCTTTGACCTAACAGTTCACAAACTTCTTAGGCTACACAACAGATTGTCAAGTATTCACATGTGTGGTTGCAGGGCTCTACAAAACTTTGTGGAAGTTGTACCCACATTAGTGCTCTACAGGTGCGAACAGAATGCTTATCCCAGAATATCTGATGGAGAAGACAATGTGCTGTTACTTAAAAACAAAAAAATCTTCAGTAGCAAACATTAGGTATATCATATAGTCTGTACTAGATAGGGGTTTTCTTTTTTCTTTTTTTGACACAGGGTTTCACTATACAGTTCAGGTTGGCCTTGAGCTCACTTTTAGCCCAGGCTGGTCTCGAACTCCTCCTGTCTCAACCTCCTGAGTGCTGGGATTACAGGCATGCACTACCATGCCCTGCTGTAACAAGATTTTAAGTACCATTAGAGGTTCAAAATTTTTTCAGAACTCACTCTTACCCTGAAAGATAGCTTTATTTGATAATCCCAACGCAGGGACAGAAGCTCCTTCGGGAAGATCGTTATCTTGCTAGAATAAGAAACAAGATACATAAGTTTTAAAGTTACCGTGACCTCAAATACTGTAAAAGGCATGTTCATAATAAATGCTGAGAAACTGTTTCAAGACCCCCTTGTGTGGACACATGCCTGCTCTACTACTTCCTAAACCAAGAGATGCAACGCTGAGCAACCACTCTCCAGCAGACAGACCCTAACCCTTTTCCCTCACCCAATCCACAACGTTTGTCTCCTGTCATCCATAAGCTCATCCAATCCTGTGGCTCAACTGTTTTTTGGTTCTGACAACAAAGGCAGTGGACAGGAAATGGAAAGTCCTGATCTCCACCTCCAAGAAGGCCCCACAGGGATATCTTTGATAATGATCCTACAAACACAGATGTTTCCCAGAAAGTATTTTCATTAAACATATTTAAATAACTGAAAACTATATTTCAAAACTTATGTGTCATGTGAAATAACAACTCTACTCAGAATCTGCAATTTAAAGCTTTAAGTTATTCCATGTGAAACCAGACGCTAGCCATCAAAACTGGCACAAGACCATATGCTAACAGTGTTTCTTACAATTTAAACGTTAATGCAAGGACTGAAACTAAACATAAACATGAGTAGCTAAAGTTCATTTCAAATGACTCTCATTTCTTCGCCCAGCTTTCCCAGACAGTGCAGATTTCACTTTCTTCAGTCTCCAGACCCTCAGATAACTCTCCTTGTCCCAAAATTCTTTCCATGTTCCTCCTGCCTCAGTCTCCTAAAAGCTGAGATTACAGGTGTGGGCCACCACGCCCGGTTTGTCCCAAAATTCTGTCACCACATTCTATGTGTGGGGGATTCCACAGCGCTCTAGTCTGCAGTGTGTCTGCCTCCCAAGACACTCTGCTGTTTGACTTGCCTCACGCTCCACTTCCCCCTCCTCTCCAACACGCAGCCCAACAGTGCTGGTCCCCTTCCTGCTTGCCCTCTCCTTCCTCCCTCTGCCTATCAAAAACGTACTTGTCTTTCTGAGCTGAGAACATCTGTGACTCAAGGGTAAGTAAAAGACTGTACAATAATTTCTATAACCCTTGTATTTTCATAAGTAGCTCAAATCTTTTATAGCAAAGGGGTACAATAAAAAATAAACTCAAGTGAAGTCCCATTGAATGTGTTCTCAGTATTTTAACACAATGACTTCTTTCTTCTGTGAAACTATTTTACTACCTAAAGATTTGGTAATTACTTTTTTTTTGCTTTCTCAAATATAACTTTAAATTATTTTAATTAGTACAAATTTATAGTACAAAATATTTATTTCTTGAATGGAGCTGCCACATGTAATAACACATTTTAATTCCTTTCTTCATCTTTCTTCTCCCGTCTTCTTTCCCTCAATCTCTTGACCCACTCTCCATGTGAGTAAGATCTACTTCCCTACTTCCTATTATCTTTCATTTTGCTCTTTATAATTTTCGTTTCTCATCAGTGAAACTATGTGATATGTACATTTCTGTCTGACTGATTTCACTTAACATTACAGTCTCAAGGTGCATCCATTTTCCCACAAACGACTCAAGTTTATCTTTCTTTATGCCACATTTTCTTTATCCATTAATCTGCTAGCGGACTACTTCCAAGATGTAGGTATTATGAACTGGGTTGCTATACACATGGGTATGCATGTATCACTGTCATATGGTGTCTTTAACTCTTTCAGGAAGCTAACTATGAAGAGAAATAGCTGGGTCAAATTTTGCATTTTAGTTTGTTGAGTAATCTCCATACTAATTTCCACCATGGCTGTACTAGTTTACTTTCCCACCAACACAGAAAGGTTCCTTTGTCCCTGGCAGCCTCGCCAGCATCTGTTATTATTACCTGGCTTCATTTTGCTACACCTACCTTACAGAAAGATAGTAGAATCTTTGAAAATAGGACCTATCTTTTGTAATTTATTTTAATTACCTACCCAGTGATAACATAGAAACCCATGTCATAAAAGAACATAGTATTGCTGCTTTATAGTGTTTTGAGTTCATCTGGTTTTTCTTTTTTTTTTTTTTTTTTGTCTTTTTTGAGACGGGGTCTCACTATGCAGTTCAGGCTGGCCTTGAGCTTGCTTTGTAGCCCAGGCTGGTCTTGAACTCGCCACAATCCTCCTACCTCAGCCTCCTGAGTGCTGGGATTACAGGCGTGAGCCACCACGCCCAGTTTTGAGTTCATCTGTTAAATAAAATTACTGGTTTATTATTTGTATAAATAAATGCCACAGTGCACACAAAAGTTTGTCAAACCAATAAGGAATGATAACTTTTGAGCATTCGTAGGCTCAAGCAAAAAAATGTAGGATTTAAAACAGATTTAAATAAAAGATTTAGAGAAATACTCACATCACAAAGCACATGACTCAGTGACTGTCCTGAAATGGCACAAAAATTTTCCACAAAATTCCGAGGCGCAGAAAAAACTCGAAGAACCTTTTCGTCTGCTCCAGATACAAACTGAAACCGATTAATCATTGTCAAACATTTCAAGTCATATCCATGTATCTGAGGCCTTGCAATTTCATGCCAAGTCACCTGGGTATTAAAATAAGATAAACAAAAATGACCATATTTTTAAAAACCAATTATTTTCAATAAGCTAAATATGAAATGCAAAATTATTATGCCACAGAACTATGACCATAAATTCAAAGACCAGCCAGGGATAAAACTTAGTGGCACAGCGCTGGCAAAAGCAAGGTCTATAGATTAATTCCCAGTACCAAAACAGACAAACAAAAAAATCTAAATTCAAGGACCAGCTTGAACTACATAGCAAGACCTTGGCTCCAAAAAGACGAAAAACAAAACAAAACAAAACCCTAAAATTGTAAGACATAGCACTTCTGTGTTAAATTAAATAAATACATTTTGATGATCATCATTTCAATTATTGTTTAAAATGCAGAGATTAGAAGTATGTTTAAATTTTAAAGAAAATGTCAAATTATTTTCCAGAATGGGTGGCCCATTTTGCATTCCCACCAGCAATGTATTAAAGCTTTAGTCAATCTGCATCCTTACCAGCACTTGTTACTATCTGTATTTTTTAAACTTTAGCCAACCTTAGAGTGGTTACAGCAGAATCTCAAGGTTTTACTTTACATTTTCCTAATGACTGACAATCTTAGCCCACTTTACACGTGCTCGTAGAAGAGTTTTTAAGAGGATTAGTCAACGAGGTAGACATTTTACCTGTGATTGGTCTTTTCTTTTCCATGGAGCAAAAAGCCGAGTTGTCTGATCAGTACCAACAGTGATGATAAATTCTCCTTCTGGATCCCACATTAGATCTTGAACACCATCAAAGTGTCCTGAAATGACAATCTCTGGAGTCCATTCTTTCTGCAATGAAAGTGCTCATGACAGATATCGAAATAATCAAAAACCATCACCATTCAAAGTAAAGCATGCTTGTCTGGGAAAAGGCAAATAAAGCCCTTGAAACATAAAATGATACACTTTGTAAGATAGGATCACAAACTATATGATTTGCTTTCCAATCAGCCATATTAAAACTTAGGTGTACTCTCTGAATAGTAACCCTGAAAATTTCCCATTATTCATTTATTCAATGTTTTCAGGCATGAACACAACTTAACCCTTCTTTTTTTTTTGTCTTTTTCCTTTTTTTTCGGTACCAGGGATCAAACTCACAACTGTCTGCTTACAAGGTAGGTGCTTATGCCGCTGAGCTAAATCCCCAGCCCCAACTTAACCCTTCTTAAATAACTCTTCTGTAAAACAGGTACTATAATAATGGCAACTACCTCAGAGAGCACCAAAAGGATTCAATTAATTTATATTTGTAATGTATGCAGAATAATGATGGCACATATTATACCCTGTATTTGTTAAGATGAATAAAAGAAAATATACTACGTGAACCAGGCATGATCGTACCCACCTGTAATTCCAGGAGATAAGACAGAGATCACAACTTCAAGGTCAGCCTGTGCAACTTAGTGAGACCTTGCTTCAAAATTAAAAATAAAAAGGGCTGGATGGCTGCTACCATATATGACACTTTGGATTCTATGCCCAGTACTGTATGGAAAAAAAAGACTACTATATAAAATGAATCAGTAGATCTGATGTGGGTCTGGTGGCTTTTTTTATTAAGCTTAAAAAAGATACAGGTATAAAGGACAGAGACAAATCAAATCTAGTTGGTTCACCTACTGAGGAACTTGCAATAACAACTATATAAACAATGACAACAAAATATAGAAAATATCCTATGCTTGGTCCAGAGTCTCTTTTTACATAATATCAAGTGGTAGTAAAATTTGACTACAAAGAGAAAAACAAATTTCTGTAAATAACTGAAAAGTCATTCAAAGGCAAATCTGATGAATATAATCAGTAATTAAACTATCTTACTTTTTTTTGGTGGTACTGGGGACCGAACTCACAGCCTACCGCTTGTCAGGCAGGCGCTCATGGCGCTGAGCTAAATCCCCAGCCCTTATTTGTAATTTTTTAAAGAAAGGCTGTTATAAAGAAATTATATTAGTTTCTCCTGTGACACAAAAAGAAACTGTGAAGTTAGTACTAATTGAAGTTTATAAAGAATTCTGATCAATGGATAGCACTTTTGAATTAACCACACTATTTTCTATAGAAACATTATTCAATTACAGTGTTTATTCATTTTTAAAAGTCACATAGATGGGGATGTACCACAGTGATAGAGCATTTGCCTAGCTTGTGTGACTCCCACGGTTCAACCTTCAGCAGTGAAACAGAAAAGAAAGTTGTACTACCTATTATAAATGTATAGACTGAGCCTAGGGTGCCAATAGTGGGCAATGCTGTACATATGCTGTACATACAGAAACTCTATGTTTTGCTCAGTTTGCTATCAATCTAAAATGGCTCTAAAATACGAAGCCCATTTAAAAAGCAAATTACCCTCAACACCTGAGAAATCAAATCATAAGGACAAGTACAATGAGATTTTGTCTTCTGGCTTGGGTTTCTCCTTAATCTTGATACTTTTTTCCTAAGAATGCTCTCAGTTAAGAAAATAAGATTGGGGCCAAGCATGTAGCTCAGCGGCACAAGTGCCTGACTGGCATGTGCAAGGTCTTGAGTTTGATTCCTAATACAGAAAAAAGAGAAACAGCTTATCTTTAAAAATATGCCTTACCTTAACAGTTTCACAGCTTATAATAGTCGAAACAATCTTGATGGTTGGAGGACACAAGGGAAAGAGTAAATCCCTTCATGAATTAAGTCTAACCCTCATGGACGACAACATTTTTACAAACCTCACAAAGTAAGTTATGTGAATCCATGAATTTTTTACTTTAAGGGAAGCTATCAGATGGATGTCTAGACATGTTGAGCCACATTTCACTCAATGTTCTTATTTCTTTCATTATTTAACATACCATATTAATATACCACATGAAGTACACGCAGGCTCTATTTTTCACGTATATAAGGTTTTTTAGTGGTAGTGCTGGAGATCAAACCAAGTGCCTCACACAAGGTAGGCAAGCACTACCACTCAGCTACATTCTAGCTAGCCTTCTATACACTCTCATTTACACTTGCAGTACCTCAACAATGCTGTGCATAATTGTGCTTCTAAGTATAAGTCATCTAGTATGAACACAATATAAGGTCTATAGAAATCAGTGCTATCACTTTAACTTAAATGCTTCAACTATCATTTTGTAGAGTATTATAAATAAATCCTATTAGTTAGCTTTCACCTAGGATTCACTCTATGTGATTAGAAAGTCTAAAAATGCTTTTCTTACTGGGTTAACTGTGCTCTGCTTCCAAAGGTGTAGTGCTCCGTGAAATGCATGAGCGATGATCATGGAGCCATCTTCATTGAATTGGCAGTCATAAAATCCCAGTGTATTTCCACCTACTTCACCTACTCGAACCTACAAAGCAACCGAGAGAAAACAATTGTCAACCAATAGCCCCATTTCACAATGGGAATGGATTCCAGAGATTTAGTTGCGTCTATTGTATACAGAACATAAAAATGGACAGCTCTTGGAATACAGATTTGGAATTAAGTATTTAGTTTATAAAGTCTGATTTTTTTTTTCCCTTCAATGTGTACATTTTACCTGTTCTAGCCAAACTCCTGACTCTTCATCTGGAGCCCAGAGAATCATGGTTTTATCCATTGAGGCAGACAACAATCTCATTGGCTGCTGTAGAACACCATCTAAATAATAAAAACTAATGCTTTTAGATGATCAACAGGTACTACTTTTGTAGATTAGAAAAAAAAAACAACAATAGAGATACTGCACATATGTTCACTGTAGCACTGTTAATAATGCAATAATTTGCAAACGGCACATTAAAAGAACTGTTAGGTAAATCACAGTATATTCAAGCAATGGAATATTTTACAGAATAATTAAAAAAAAAACAATTAGCACTACATGAAACAAAATGGATGAATTTCCAAAACATGTTAATCTAAAAAAGAACATGATAAAAAAACAATACATATTGATAGCAAGTTTTAGTAACTATAAAACAATGTGTTAATGGCAACATAAATGCATAATTAAAAATACAAAAACGTGCATGGGAATGATATGCACTGAATTCAGTACTACAGCTGCCTTACAGAGGATGCACTGGGAAGGCTCAGAAGAATACACACAGGTTCTCAGCATCTATAATATCCTTATTTTTTTTTTAACCATGGAAAATTTGGTTGTTCCTCTCTAATCCTAATTTCTCTTAGAAGGTCAGATAAAGTTTAGTTCTAGCTCAGAGAGGCAGAACTTTAACGAATGATCACTATGAGTATCAGTTAAGTTCTGTGGCCTGGTATGATACAAGCTGCTTAGTCAATGGTCTCTTATTTTTATTTTACAGTGAAAATATAATTTCAAATTTTTAGTAAAAATAAAATTGAGGTTTCTTTCTATTTTTATCCTTCTTTTTTTCTGGTTTTTAAATTAATCATGAGTATCTGAGATCAAACAAACTAACCAGTACTATGGAACAGTAACTGCCAGTACAAAGTAGATACTGATGCCTATTTTAATTGATAATAAAAGGCTTGAATTGGCAAAAATGGCCATGTTATGGATGGGAAAGGAAGAATCCAATAGGCAACGCCAGATGGAATGAATCAGAGTTGGTCCATAAAGAAAAAATAATTATAACTGTAGTAAATATAAGTAAGAACTAACTAACTGGTTATTACCTGAGCATTAATTACCACAATTCTTGTTTTCAGGATGGGATTGGGGGAAGAACATGAGACTGTGTCTCTACAGTCAGCACCACTTTAGGCACAATAAAACCACCACTCCTTACCAGGCATGGTGACACATGCCTGTAACCCCAGCACTAGGTACTCTGAGACGGGAGGATCACTGTGAGTGAGGCTGTCCTGGGCTACATAGTAAGACTCTCAAAAAACAACTCCTCTGCCTCCAGTTCCATAAATGGAGGTTAAGGGTGAAAGAAGAAAAAAGACAGCCTTAAGTTTTCGTAAATAATGTATCTTAAAGATTTCAGTGAAGCTGACTTGAAAGTCTGTTTCTTTGAGCCAAGTATGGTGGCACATACCTAGAATCCTACTGCTGCAGGAAGCTGAAGCAGAAGGAGCTCAAGTCTGCTCTGTCTGGGCAACTTAGTGAGATCCTATCTTAAAAATTAAAAAAATGGGCTGCGGATGTAGCTCAGTAAGAAGGTTGTGGGTTCCATCCCCCAATACAGCAAGAGAAAAAAAGTCAGGTTTTTCTTAAGTCCCTTAGTGATTAGGGAAAAGCTTTTATTTATTTTTTTAATTTAAAAATATATATATGTATAAAAAGGGGAGATTAAGATGAAAGAGGACATAACGACACAGGTCAGAACAGAACAATTTAAGCAACATAGTGTTTCACCATAGGATAACTCGACATAACAGTAGTTACCACAATGTCTCTTTCCTTGAAATATTTGAGTATAACTTCGTATACTATAGTATCAAACATAACAAGACAGTGTAAAAACCATTTAAGAGGGTAGAATTATTACAGGGTATTTAGAATCAACTAACAGAAAATGAACAATGGTTTCTATATTATCTCCTTGTCTATAAAAAATTTTGTTTATACTATTACATATAATAAAATCCAATAAGATACAACATGATAAAACCGATGGAGACAGAACAACAAAAGTTTGATGGGACTTCAAAACAAGCTGATATTAAATCAGCACTAGCTATTATAATGTCTTGTTTTCTTTAAAATAACTGTTCATACCATCACAGACAATAAAATCAAACACCCCAGAATAAAACCATTCCAATAAATGAATGAAAACATTGTAAGTCTTCAAAACAATATAATGGGGAATCCTGATTACCACACACTTTTATGTATTCTTACCATTTCTTACACTAGGGAAACTATTCGGTATTTATACATGTGAGTTTGATGTATTTCGCTTATGAGTATGGTCTCAAGCTGTGCCCATTTATTTATAAATATCTCAGTGTGATCATTCTTTATAGCTGAGTAGTATTCCGTTGTATAAAAATACCACAACTTTTTTATCCATTCCTCAGTTGATGGACATTTAGGTTGTTTCCAAGATCTGGCTATTACACATTGTGCTGCACATAAACATGGGTGCACATATATCACTGTGGTATGGGAAAAACTTTTAAAAGATAAAGGTAACAGTATGATAGTTTTGGCATCATGGCAAGAATCATACTTTGCCCACTTAATTTTCACTGAGTATTCAGCACACTAGGAATGTGTCCTACCAACTTGAAACGATCTTATTTTTGAGATTTCTTTTTTTTTTTTTACCAGTACCAGGGATTGAACTCACAACCGCCTGCTTGGACGGCAGGTACTTATGCCACTGAGCTAAATCCCCAGCCCCATATTTGAGATTTCTAATTACACTCCAAAAAATATCCAGCTAGTCAGCACAAAATACTGTAAACTTTAACTGAAATAAAGGATTATGGCTATTTTTCTTCCTACCTTTGTAAAATGAAGGCTGCCAATGAACAGCATTCACCCAGTTTTCATGACCAGCCAACACAGTCTCCAGAGTAACTCCAAAGGTTACTTCACTACCTACAACAAAAGCAACGAAGGTATTCTTTCCCCAAAGCTCCTTTCAAGGTAACAATTGTATAACCATGTTAGTTGTGCAATTATGTCCAAAAAATCAGAACAAAACATAATTGCTGAAGTTCAACAAAAAAATGCATTCTAAATTTCATAATCTCACCTACTGTTTAAAATTATAGGAGAAATAGTTCTAAAGATAAATTTTTCTCTACTATTTCCTTTACCTGATCATAAATATTAAATAAGTTTTTTTAAGTTTCTGAAAAGTTGTTATACTTCACAAACTTATGTATACATAGTTCTGAATCCCCAGTACCACAGTAAGTAAATATATTTAAATAAAATTTTAAATAATGGAAACTAAATCAGTATTTGACTTTTAAAATAATCAATAAAAATATGAAAAGTTTCATATTTGGGTACAGCTAATTACAATCTGCTGGTTATATCATTTCTTGGTTCTCAAAAAACTTTATTAACAAAAATCTGAACTGTAATGGGCTTTAAAACCAAGAATAGCAATAAATAACCACACATCTATGTGAATGATGCCTACTGAAAACTAACTTTATAACTCAGATACACATCTAAAACTCATCCAAAAATACATTCTCTACAGTACAACATTCAACAAGATATACCAAGCAGGGATTCTGTTCTAATAGTAGATAATAAGAAAACCCAAATTGCACATGCTTTTCAAATACAGGGATTCAGCTTGCTCTTATGGCTATACTGCAAAAATAGGGACAATTCACACTGGTTGTGTAGGTCATCCTATCATGAAACTGAAAACTTAGTAACATTTTATAAATTCATTTAATACTTTCATAAACCAAAGAACAGAATCTGATAGTTCTGAAATACTAAATTCCACATAGGCATGTGGAAAAATGGATAAATAAATCATAAGGAGACCTAAGTATTTTTATATCGAATATTTTCACTGTTACCTTCATTTTCTATGGTAAACGTATTTTCCTTCAGTCTTATATTATCATCTTGCATTTCTGAAGATGTTGATTTTATACAGAGTCTCCATATTCTTATCAGGCAATCTTGTGAACAGCTTGCTAAGAAAAGATCTCTTCCTAATTAAAAAAAATACATTCTATTATTTTTAAAACATTATATTCTTAACAGTTTCTATAAGACTTTCTCCTCCTGGCCAATGTGAAATCCTGAGTTCTGGTACCCTCTCCAAAAAAGACTTTCTCTTTACCAATGTGTTCATTTCTAGATTTCCTGAAAAATACTTTTTACCCTTCAGTCATTTGATCTATGTTCATTTTTAAAAACACTGATAAATGTATAATAGTAACATACTTTTACAAATAGTCTACTAAGTTCTGCAAAGAACTTTCCAAGAATGTCTATGCAGACAAAACAGCTAGTGTCATCTTGTAAATATCAATTTGTTTTATTCTCAATAGTTAATAGAAAGTTACACATGTTTTTATTAGAATAATTAAAAAGTAGTATATAAATAAAACTTAAAGCATAAGAGAGGCTGCTTCTAAGAAGTTTCCTATACTTGTCCCCATCATCTATGTAACAAAATTTCATACTAACCAAAGGCTGCCCACTCCACACCTCTTATCCAATCTTCATGTCCACAGAGAAAAAGCACTTTCTGAAACTAGTAAGATAACAGAATTCATGGGGATTATATAAGGATTTTAACATTTTTCATGTATATCAATGACTTCACTTGGTCTCAGTTCTGTATCATTTTTACTGAAGATGTTATCTATCAGATACACACTACAACACTCATTTGACAGTAAAACTCACAACATCTGAATTGTTAATTGAGCAACGCTAAATAAATATAATAGTCTGTAGTACTCCAATGATTTAAATGTTTACTAGATTACAGCTCAGCAGTTGGGGCTATAATTCAATGACAGAATGTTTACCAGCATGTGCAAGGCTCTGGGTCCAATCCCCACCACCACCAAAAAAAAAAGATTAAAGCTCATGTGGACAGATAACAGGATGCTTCATCGAAGGTATATTAAACCTCATTTAAAACATCTGAGGAAAACACACAGCTGGGCCTGCACACATACCTCTTTTCTTCCCATATCTAGTGACTTATTTCTCTCTGACAGTTCCAGGCCTGGTAGTAAAGGCAGCAGTTTCTTGATGTACACAGAGTGAAAGATCACTTAACATAGGATTGTCAGAAAAGATTTCCCTATTGTATTATTTGGGTTTGATTTATAACATTCCTTAAATTCTGTAATTAAGTCTATATTAAGATGTATTATTAAGCAGAACATTATTTTAAGATTAAAATAAATATTGTTAATTACCTGATCATTTTGTTGTACAAATAAGTGAATTTTGCAATCATCATCACCACAGGCTAATATTGGTACTGGAAGAGGGAAAATAAGCATTACTGTAGGTACTCCACCATAAACATGATCCTCCATGTAGATTCTAAGCCTAGATGATAAACTCTGACTTGTTTCCTGCAACACTGAACAAACGAATTGAAAATGCTCAATAAATGTCTCCAGGAGCTGGGTGTCATGAGCTGCCTGCTACTCAGGAGGCTGCAGCAAAAAGATTACAAGTTGGAGGCCAAAGGGGAAAACTTAGCAAGACTCTGTCTCAAAATAAGAGTAAAGAAAAGGGCTAGGGATGTACCTCAGTTTTAGAGGACTTACCCAGTATGGTTGGGTCCTTAGGTTTAATCCCCAGAACCGCAAAAAAGAAAACATAAGAAGTCTCCACAAATAACATAATCTAAAACTTTCTATTCAATTGTTATTTGGTAAATACTCTTATTTCACTGAGATAATTAGTACCTACATTCTATTTTATTATGAAAGGATGAACAATGAAAAAGAAGTTCAACAGCAAGCAGGGCTTTTGATTTTAACATCAGCCAAAGGAGAAATATGAAAAGTTGTTAGCCTAACTGAATAAATCTGAGTTAGTATGATTCTAGCATCATAGCTACCATACAATGATTTATGAATACGTTTATGACTTGAAGGACTTTACAGTTAGAGGCTGAACTCAACACTAAAAGTAGGTAATAAAATATGTAGCTGGAAAGCTATGAAAGGAGTGACTATAATGAGCTTTCCTTAATAAGATAAATGAACAAACTCACATATCAAAGAATAGCTCTAATGACTCTGAAGCAAGATAAAGAAAGAACTCTTTTCTGGGAAAATGTCTTGCTACCACTCAATGTGTTTTTCAAAGACTTTATTTTAAATCAACTAGAAAAAAAATGGCTAGTCACTGATTTTTAATGTCAGTAGGAAGAAATGAGATTCTGTGTTACTAAACCAAAGAGTTTACAGCTTCTGCTCGGGGAACCTTTGCACAAAATGGAAGATGAACGTGAAACCACGGAGGCACAGTTCCTGCTGCAAAAGGCAAGAGAAGCTGGTGCTTCCAGGCCCTGCCTCTCGCCACCAACCTGTCTTCCAGGTAATAATGGGTGGAAAGAAAATTACTTCACATTAGCTATCATCTTCATGGAAGATAAAGGAAAAAGCCAGATGTGGAGGCACGTGACTGTAATCCCAGGACTCTGGAGGCTGAGGCAGGATGATCCCTTCAGGGTTTCAGGCCAACCTTGGATACACAGTGAATTCTATGTCAGCCTGAACTGCATTGGGAGACCCTGTCTCAAACCAAGCAAACAATCTTTAGGCATAGATGGGTTGCAGAGCAAAAAAGGAACTTTTTCTGTCTGGAGATTTTTCAGTGATTTCAGGCAAACCCATCATGCACAATGTGAAAGAGTTGCATTCTTGACAGAAATGCTCATGAGGACCATCCACAGTAATTTTCAACTTATTTCAGACCTTTACTTTCTAAAGAATTAGACGTATCCTCTGAATTATATCTATATATTTCATAATCTATTTCACAAATACATTATGAACAGCTATCAAAATTCCTAGTAGTCTCTCCTTAACCTCATGTTCTATATAGCTAGACCACTTGAATACTGTAACAAAAATGTTATCCACATCTGAATTTGTTTCAGCAGGGTTGGGGCTCTAGCTCAGTAGTACAGTGTTTACATAGCACATGTGAGACCCTTCGTTCCATCTCCTGAACCACAATAAAATAACAAAATAAGATATAGATACACAACTAAGACAAAATACAATTCTTTAGGGTCTGGTCCTATGGAGATACGCAAATACTCTATACTCTTCTTTTAGCAGAGTACTCACCATCAGTATTTGGCAAAAAGAATAAGGACAGAGCCAGAGCAAATCCATTTCCAAAGGTCAAGGTCTGAAGGCATGTTACTAAGAAACAATAAAAAATACCATGAATAACTATCTCTGAGCTCACCTACATAGCGAAGTTGGGTAGAACTGTCACAGCCCTGTGTGTGTCAGCAAGAAGATAACAAAGGTCTGAAGATAACAAACTCTGAAGCTCCACTGACCATGTGAAATTAAATGGCCGAATTTCAACAATGTTACAGAGAACAAAACAACTTGTATGAAAAGGCTTAAAATAAATTTATATGGTCTAACAATTTGATGTACAAGAATTCTGAGAAAGTATTAAAAAAAAAAAAACCTAAACATTTCAATGAAATTTAAATTTACTTGAAAATCTGGCATGGTGGGATAGACTTACAATTCCCAACCTCAGGAGGCTGAGACAAAAGGTTCACAAGTTTAAGACTAGCCAAGGCTGTATAATGAGCTCAAGGTCAGCCTGAACTACATAGTGAGACTGTCTCAAAAAACGAAAAGCAAAAGAACAAAACAAAACAAAACAGTTACTTAGAAGTGTGAAAAAATTATATGGATGTTATTCTAGTTATCACTTAATAATTATTATTTCATTTATTTGGATTATAATGCATCTAAACTTACCTTCTGAACCCTTTTTAGACCAGAATCGGACTGTAGAATCTGAAGATGCAGAGACTATCAGTGTGTGTAATGCAGCGTCTGATGCTATCCTCTGGTAAATAGCATGCACTGCGTAAACAGGTCCTTCATGGCCTTGGAGATGAGTGGCTTTTAAAAGCTGAATCAGAATGACAAATGCATTATAATACAAAGAAATTATCAGTTTTTTCTTTATTTAGCTGGAACCTGCCTCAAAAACAAAAAGCTCAGTGAGAAGGCATGGAGACCAACCTGCAAAAAGTATATAAATAAATAGCAAGCTTGACTCGCACTCAAAAACACAACCTGACCTACAAATAGGTTCTCTTAAATTGAAGAAGATAAAAACACTCAAGAAGTCTGTCTGACCTTATTAACAGAACAAAACTTGTATTCTTTGATACAGCAAAGAATCTAAAGACGATATTGCTAATGTAACAAATATTAAAAGACAGACTACCACATACCATTTTTTTTTTTATCGGTACCAGGGATCGAACTCACGACTGTGCGCTTGCAAGGCAGGCATTTATGCCACTGAGCTAAATCCCCAGAGCCCGGCATACCATTTATAATAGTGAAAAAAGTCACAATCTAAAATTATTGATAGGGAACTGATTGAATTATAGCAGACATACATTGAAGCCAGTGAAAAGGATAATGTAAATAAATAAATGCCAACTGCTATTGAAAGGTCTACAACACTGGTTCTTCAACACAGGCCAATTTTGTGGAATGTTCTTCCTTTCGGAAAACATTTCCTCATGAACAGATTCAGGATATGCATTCTGACAGCACTGGTACATAAATGCATCACATCAAGACGCAGAAGTCAGTTTGTTCCAATTTTAGTTAAGTTAAACTTATTATCTTGCAAGGTAGAGTCTACAGGATTTTTTTTGTTCCACTGTGTAGTTAATGTTTTACTTGGCGATAATATCTGAGTACACTTAAGCATTGAGTAAATAGTTTATTTCCTATCAAACTTTTACCAAGTATTCTTAGCATCCAATTGTGATACTTGCCTAAATCAATTATGGCTCCAAAACAGAAAAACTGAACACAGAAATTCCATTTGCTAGTAAAAGCTATCTATTCACCAGATAATTAATATTCCCTCTGGCAACTTTCCACTACTCCTTTGGTTTGTTTTGTTGGTATTTGTAATGCCGATGGTAGAACTTTGGGTCTCTCACTAGCCAAAAGCTCTACCACTGAGCTATACCTCCAATCCAGGTCTATTTTATGAGTTTCTTTCAAATGTCTGAGATTCCATTACTGCTTTAGGAGATCTTTTCTGTACATTTATCATCTGCTGAAATACAACTGTTCCCTAAATGCCTCCTTAGCTATTTTCCCAATTACTTAAGTTGAACTCTGCAACTCGAGAAAGTTGCTAATAATTACACATAAGGGTCTATACAGAAAATTAAATCACCCAACTTTGACTTAGCTGAAAGAATATTAAAAAAAAAAAAGAATATTTTTAAAAGATTCAAAAATATTATAATCTCTTTTGTATGTAATTACACTCATAGGACTAGAGATTCTGGAATTATGTTCATCAGTAAGCTAACTCTCCTCATATTTCATAATTTTTTCCTTCTTTACAATTTTCTGTATTTATATACTTTCTTTACATGACTGTATCATTATCCCCTAACAAATTTATTGAAAATATTCATTTCATTTTTTGAGCAGGGTTACTAGTTCAACCACTGGACAAATTTTTAAAACAATGGAAGAAACTTCTTAAATTTTCTAGCTTTTTAAAAAACAATATTTACTGTTCAAAGACTCAAACCTGTCTTTATAGCAACTTAGAATTATTTCCTTTTATCAGCAGTCAAGGTGCACTGAGCACCTGTGTGTGGAAATACATATGGGAAAGAACACTTAAGCCCTTAAGGAGGTCACAATTCCCCTTCCTCTGACTGTTCATATCCCTTTCACTCCTCCTTTATGGCTTTCGTGTCCCTTCTCTGTGCCTGTCTGGCCTCACATTCTCTACACCGAGTTCCATCATATACTTGCTTGCCTGTAATCCTCTCTAAAATGTCAGACAAAGCTTGGGGCAGCACTGAGGCAAGACTTGCCAATCTCGAAGTCTTAAAAATAAATAAATATTAGAATCCTCCTCTCTAAACTCTTCTGCCAAGGTTAGGCCTAACAGAAGCCAAGTTTACTACACTGCCCCACTCTGGGGTTCTCATTCAGGTGCAGGAAGCTTCCAGGTCCCACCTTCACACCTGCCCTCCGTTTCTGAGTGTGAGCCCAGCCCAGCCAGGAATGCAAAGAACCTCTGAAGTGACTGCACATCTTCCTCCCTACTTGCCTGTGTTTCTCTGTACAAACATCTCCCTTCAAAGGCCCCTAGACAGAATCCCACTGTTTCTGATTAGTCATCCTCCGGCCTACCGGATAGATTCCCACTCCTCTGACATCTACCCTTAGTGCCAAACTCATGTTTCCTTTAAAACATACCCGATTTTGTTTCCTCCACATTTTTCTCTTCTGATTTGCCTCGCTACCATCAGATTGATCTTCTGAACGCCATACTCCTGTGCTTTAAAAATCATCACTGCCTTCCAAATACTGACTAGTAAAGAACAAATGCTTAAAGCTAGTATTCGAATTCCCTCATGGCCCTCTCCTATTCCACTTCTCCAGGATTATTACCTGCAATGTCTTATCTCATATTTCCAAAACTGTCTTCCTCAGAGTTCCAGGGGATGCCAAGAGATTTAATAGCGGAGGGGAATTTTAAACATCTAATAATTCTGGGAATTACTACTTTCATCTGAACTCTCACAATACCATGGTCATGGGGCAGCAAGTTTTCACATTTGCACACTGTAGTCACTTGTATTTTAGTTATTCAAGTACATTTTGCCTTCAAAAATATGTACCATACTTGTTTCACGAACAGGTCTTGCCTTAACTACATATGTGGCAGGTGTTCAAATATCTAACCCACTAACCTTTTCATGTTTTTGATTACTAGTAGAAAAAAACCTAACTGTCCCAGGGTAGAGGACCATCTGTATCATATACTATATCATTCAGAAGCTCTGCATTCACCTGGCAACAGCTGCCCTATTGACACAGAAGAAATCTTTACTATCACTGAAAACAGATCAGTTCATGCAAGAACAGTCTGAAAATTACTATAAAATGACAGGAAATTCATAGAGATGATGTTCAGCATAGGCAGATGGGAATAGAATTACAGGAAGGAAGGCAGGTATGGTGGCACGTGCCTATTAATCCCAGCACTGGGGAGACTGAGGCAGGAGGATCGTTGCGAGTTCAAGACCAGCCTGGGCTACAAAATGAGCTAAAGGCCAGCCTGAACTGTAGTGAGACCCTGTAACAAAAAAATAAATTAGAGAGAGGAATACAGGAGTATGAAGTACAGAATATATAGCATCTGGGTTACAGATAAGCAAAAAGAAAGGGACACCACAAAGAAAACAAAGAAATGAAAGGAAAAATAAGAATACGTATCACTTCTTATAATAATATCTACCTACCTGATTGTTCTCTATTTCCCAGTGGATCACTTGATTGTCAGATCCTCCAGAAATTAATTCAGTAGAAGGAGCTGAAAAAATCATGTTGCAGTAAAAATTTTTATTCAGTTGATTCCCCTATTTCTAAAAATCTAAAAGTTACAGAAAATGTATAAGGATACCCTATGTCTTATACTCCCTATACATGCAGGAACACACATTTCCCAAACATTTGAAAATAAGCTGCTTACCAGGTGAATGAATAAAGAAAACATGATACATATATGAGAGGTGGTCAAAAAATACTTTTAGAAATTATTTAGGTAAAGGGTACACTGTCACTAATCCCTGTCAAGATGCTACCCTTCACTTTGAATATACTTATTCCATCATTCTTGCCACTTTTGGAAGCAGTTTATCGTTACATTTATAGCCATTTTTATCGAATAAATACATTATGGTGTGTTCTCATCCATGTTATTCATCAGATCTGGCAGCATTTGACTTCAGGCTCTTCCCCAAAGTCAAAATGACCAAGAAAGATGAAACATCAAAGTCACATCAGCACAACTAAACTCAATCACAAAAGAGAACTTGTGGAAATGCATGCAAAAATGGCGAGAAGGAATACGTATACTTGAATTGGGGGAAGTCCCAGGAGGAATTCATGTCAACATGTCTTTTACTATAATTTTAGAAATGCAAGCATGTATTTTCTAATCAACCTCATATACAATGAAGTATTATTAATTCAATCTTAAAAGAATGAAATCCTATTATTCACAAGAAAATGAGTGGAACTAAAAGGAAGGAAGTAAATGAATGGAACTAGAGGGCAGCATGGTAAGCGAAGTAAGCCAGACACAGAAATACAGGTATCATATATTTTCTCTCACATGTGGAAGTTAGAAAAAAAAAAAAGACCCCAAAATATAGTACATGAGCTCAGTACATGGGGTCAGCGTGAATAGAGAAGTTAGAAGGGCGGATAGACAGGATACATGCATATATGGGAATAGTACAGTGATCTATAATTAATGTATGTCAATAATTTTAATAAAAGATAAGTTGCTAACATTATGACTGCTGATCCTCAGACTTTTTCAAGTATCTCTGGAAACATTTTCCATTATCTCAATTACTGCATTTAAGAAATTTAATATTGATACAGTACTAGTATGTGATTTACAGTCCATATTAAAATAATCCAAATTATTCCAGTCACATCACTTGTAGCTTTTCTGTTTTGAATTCAGAATCTAAGGATCACACATTACCTATCTGGTAACCACACCTTTGTACTCTCCTTTAATCTAGGATAATTTCTCAGTTTCCTCTTTTTTGTGAAAATAGCACAGGCCAGTTGTTGTGCAAAGTGTCTCTTAATCTAGATTTCTGTCACTTCCTAAGATTTACACTAAACACTTTTTGAATGAATAACATTATATGAGAAATTTATAGTAAACTACTGCACTCAAGCTTGACTTATTTTTGAGATTAAAGAAATACTTCAAAATAGCTCTTTTAAATATTTACAATCTTATGAAAATAAAAAAGAAGGAAGTACCAAAAAAGAAAAAAAACAATGTAATTTTGGTTTGGATTTTCCATTATTATTTTTTTTTTCTGCTGTATGTGCTAGATATTTAGGGAAAAGTTGGGAGACAGTCTAAAGAGGATAATTAAAATTTTCAGCTATAAAAATAAACAAATAGCATTAGACTTGAACTCACAAGTCCCAGGTTCATATCCTACCTCTGCCACCAACCACTTGTGATCTTAGGCTTCAGTTTCTTACATATCACAGAAATTAAGCCATTTATTTCTATAACTTTGAAAATAAGTAGAAAAGGTATATAAAAAGAGTACATGAGGAAATCAGACATCCTTAGAATATAAAATGGTATTAAAATTTTATGTCCCTGATATAGTGGAAAGGATACCTAAATTACTGTATCTAGTGACAAGTCCCTTTCTTAGAGGAAATCAATCATAATAGTTACATATTCAATGACCCACATGTAATTCATTTTATGTTAACTCACTTTTAAAGGGGAGATAAAACACACAAGACCAAATTTGTATTTTATAACAAATTCCTATACTGAAAGTCAAGTAATTTTTGACGTCCTGAAGTAACATTTAATGCAATTACAACTTTTTTAACAACTGAATTAACAGCCATTCCTATATGATTTAATATTTTTTATAAATGTGATACACAACTAATCCTGCTTTACCAACTGAAATAAACAGCTTATTAAACTTTTAATGTGACAATAAAATCATAGCAAAGTCTCACTAACTGACGAAATTCCCCACCCAGATCAGAAGTTTTCAGCGAATGTTTATAGAATGAAAAATAATTCAGAGTGGGTATATTTAAGATACTTAAGGAAATTCCACTGAATTTTTGAAAGCATCATTTAAAAACAACCAATACGGTAATTAAGAATCCTGAAGTCAGAGAATCTTAGAAATGGGAGAGAAATAATCCACAGTAATATATCAATTTTAAACTTTTTGGTCTCAGGACTCCACACTTTTAAATTTTCTGAGAATCCTTCTGCATAGCAATGGAAACCACCAACAGAATAAAGAAACAATCTACAGAACAGGAGAAAATTTTGCAAACTAAGACTTATCAAAGGGCTATCAAGCCAGATGTGGTGGCGCAAACCTACAAAATCCCAGCACTTGGGAGGCTGAGGCAGGAGAAGTGCCATAAGTCTGAGGCCAGTCTGGGCTGCGTGCCAAGACCTTGTCTCCAAAAAGAAATGGGACTATATGTAGGAGATATATATACATATACATATATATATAAATATATAATTAGGCTCTCAATCAAAAATGGCATCTGAAATGAACAGACACTTCTCAGATGAAGTAAGAAGAGCCAATAAATACACTCTAAGGCTCCCCAAAAGCTTTTGATTATATGAGCCATATTACTAATATTAACTATATTAGAAATTTTTTTTTTGTCTTTTTTATCTGTACCAGGGATCGAACTCACAACCGCCTGCTTGCGAGGCAGGTGCTTATGCCGCTGAGCTAAATCCCCAGCTCCTATATTAGAAATTTGAAAACTACTTATTTAATAACAAACTTTAAAATTATGAGGGGGCTGGTCTTGATGGCACAATCCTGTAATCTCAGCTCTCAGGAGGCTGAGGCAGGAGGACTGCTTTGAGTTCAAGGCTAGCCTGGGCTACAAAGTGAGTTCAAGGTCAGGCTGAACTACACAAGAAATGGTTCAAAAAAAAAAGAAAGAAAAAAAACTTACGAGGAAGCCCACAGTATGGCAACACAATTATTTTCATGGGAATGAAGGGAACCACCAATGTATTTCAAATCAAAAAAACTCATGAGAAGAGACGCTGTTTCAAATTTCTGCAAATCTCAATGTCTGGTTATATTATACTACAGCTGGATTTTTGTATCTGCTTCTGTATTTAATGTGTCACATCACACATCATATAACTGATAGAAAATTCCACTATACATTTGTGACAGAATATGAATGAAAACTATGAGTACTTGTTACTCTTACTATGGAAATAATGTTGACATTGTAAGTGTCACGAACCTCTGAACTAGTCCTATATGGACCTTTCCAGAGAGTACTAACAGGTACAAACTGGGGTCAATAGAAATGTAATGTTTTGCCTTAAAAAAAAAGTAAAGAGTGGCCTATTCCTATGGCAAAAACAGATTTGGCAGCCAAGTCCTCTGAATGCCAGTCAAAACCTGGGCTCTACTTACGGGTTTTCAAAGCCTGTGGGCTTTTGGAGGTGTAGTGGGGGAGGGTACTGCCACAGTCAAAGATAGTGTTTCTACCTTCATCCTAAACCCTACAGTGTTATCTGTGCTTCAACTGCTACAAACTAAAAAGATAGGTCTGATAACTCACTTAGCATTTTTTTTTTTATTCTCCAACTCCATAACACTGCATAAGATAATGCTAAGTTAGAGACAGGTTGAAAGAAAAATGATTAATCATACTTTTTCAGAAAACAACTGAAATCAGCTTTAACAATCAGATTAATACTTACAGCCATCTTGTTTACAAATCCATTGTACACAATTGACTCGAGAAGTGTGACCATTCAGGTTGGTAACAACTACCCTTTCCTTAAGAGAAGAAAACAGCAATCAGTAAATTCGCCCTAAAGAAGAATTAACAAATTAATAAAATCGGACTTCTGCTCAGGTGTGGTGGCACATGCCTATAATTCCAGTACTCAGGAAGCTGAAGCAGGAGAATCCCTGCAAGTTCGAGGCCAGCCTGGACTATAAAGAGTCCAAGGTCAACCTCAACTACATAGTGAGACTCTGCCTCAAAAAAAAAAAAAAAAACCAGACTTCTGTGTTTTGACAGTAATAAGATCAGTTATACCAACATAGTTGTCTCCTCAACTAGTAAAACTTTTAACTGTGGCTTAACACTTTCATTGTCTTCACTCTAGATGTTCCTGCTTGCAAACACTCTCCACATTCCTAGTGTCTGGTGTTCTCACTACACTGAGATCTCATGTTTGCATCTGCCTGCTTTAGTTTACTCTTCCACGATCTCTGCATACGTTTTCCTTCTCACCTGACACTCTTAAACTAGACAAGCATCGTCTTCCTTAGGCTTCAGGGACTACTTTTACTATGCTTGCACTAATTTGGGGATTTCATTAACAAAAATCTTTGACAATGGAATTCATAATTAGCATACAGAAATTTATGACTCAGTTTCTAAAGCTGATCAGGTGGCAGGTTCTTTAGTCCTAGTGAACCAAGGTACTCTTACATAGCAGATCCCTGCAAGCCGTATCAGGGTCCCAATTGACCTTCGGGCTGCTGCTTTTTACCAAACCATGCCATCCTTTAGCATCCTCCCTCCACTCACTGCTAAAAATTTTAATTCTAAGACTACTGTACTTTGCCCGGCATGGTGTCACACACCTGTAATCCCAGCATTCACAAGACTGAAGCAAGAGCATTGCCTTAGGTTAGAAGCCAGCCTGAACTACATGGTAAGGCCCTGTTCAAAACACAAAACAAAACAGACTGCTATATATTCTTCTCTTTACAGCTCTTCTTTTGTCAATTGTACCAGCTTTATGTCTGCTTATATGCCAACCTGAACCTTCATGGCTGGGAAAAAGGGACACAGAGACAAATATATATAAAATACATTTCACACATGCGTTGAGGTTGAGAAACCACTACCTGTATTCCGTTCTTTCTCCCACTAAATTTCTTAAAAGGTAGGAGTAAATATACATTATCTTGTGCCATCATCGTCTAGCATATAGAAGGTTTGTACATAGGGTTCTCAAAGGATGGTATTATAAGCATAATTTCCAAACCTTCGTTTTAGTACCTAACTGGCTCTTATTCCTACATTTATTAAACACCCAGTAAATATTTACCAAAAAAGTATTTTATTATATGCTTAAATCCCCTAACATAGATATTAAGTTATCGGGACTGGGGATTTAGCTCAGCGGCATAAGTGCCTGCCTGGCAAGCACTAAGTCGTGAGTTCGATCCCTGGTAAAAAAAAAAAAAAAAAAAGACATTAAGTTACTATTAAAAATGGCATGGAGACAGAGCTATTGAAATACTGCACAAAGATGGGCCTCTATGACTGAGTCAGTCCTTAGCTGATGGTAACTATCATGTGCTTCCTTGGTTTTATGTGCTTTCTCTTGCTGCTTAAAAATGCATGCCAGTTAACAAGAAACAAAGAAGAGAAATGATAAGCACACTCAAGATACACAAAAGTGAATAAAAAACTTTCATATAGAAATTTGAATCTGCAAAGGATAACAGAATTTTAAATCAAATCAAACTAATAAAAGAATAAGCAATACAGACAACTCCTGCCCTGCATTTTAATTTTCTACATTTCATTTATTTAAAGAGGAGAAATTTCATGTGGCTCACATTTGCATCTCACCTTCTATACTTTACATTGAAATGCAAGAATAACTTTATCTTAATCAACCAGAAGTAAAAATTGGGTAGCATGCAAAACTACTCACTTGGAACCCTGGAACGGAGGGGAAATTTTTTCAAACACCGACAAACTCAGGGACTGGATAACTCCTGCCTTATAACCAGTGGTTACAATCCCCACCCCTAAGACTCTTTCCTCACGTGACAAATTGTTTAAAATGTGCATTCTCCTAGTTAAAATATCCACATTTCTTTGAAATTCAATACAACACAAATTCATTAACACTGAGGGAAATACAGAGCTAAGATTGCATCTGTGGGACGATGATTTTAATTCACATCTAAGTTTCAATTTCATTGTTTCAATCTAAGTTTCAAATTCATTCCTAAATAGAATGAGAATTTGTGAGACGGCTCCAGATAAATCTCGTCTGGTGCCAGTAAGGGGCTCGCAGATCCCGGGCAGCACATGGGCCACGGAGAACCCGCAACCGTGAGGGCGACAACGGCGCGCCCACGGGAGACGCCCAGCAAGGCCTCCCTCTGGATGGCAATTCATAGTCCCGCCCAAAAGGTTTGGCCACTGAAGCAAGGGGTATAGGACATCCAGCTATCCTTTTACCTGAGGGTCATAGAGAACCACCGAGCAGGACGTGCCAAAAGCTAGAAGTCCTCCGGGCCCAGGGCTCCAGCTCACGACTCCCCGCACCCGATTCGGGCAGCAAAACACGTGAGTAGCCTCTAGCATAGGCACCACCATAACGCCAGGTGGTCAGCACCCGAGCCCAAAGCACGCACTTCCGCCCGGGGAGCGGAACTACTCCCACAGCCTCGGTGCAAGCCTCAGCCGGTCCACGTTTCCGCGGCGCCCGGGGGCGGGGCGTAAACGCCCCCCGCCCCGCCCCTCGGCCCCCGCTCGGCCCAGAGCTTCTCCAAAATCCTAGCCAACGCGAGAGCGAGGCCGCGCCTTCCCGCTTGCATCTCTCCAGCGCGCGCGTTCTCGCTCGCGTGTTTTGTGCCGCCGCGCCGCGCACGAGGCACGTCCCGATGGAGTATGTCGGGATCCTCCACAAAGACCTCTGCGTTAGTGCCAGGGCGGCCCTTCAAGACCTGGCTCCTATCCTCTGAACGAACTGTTCTGGGGCACCCTGGCTAACAAGTCTCGGACCTCAGAGAAGCGCAGGGGCGCAGAAAGGTTCGGAAAAGGACCCCTAGCTACTCCCTGTCCACTCAGATCTTGCCTACATCTCCGGCGCGGCGCCACTGCTCCTCCGCCCCCCGCGAGCCCAGGCATCTGGGAAGGCGCGGAAAAGCGGATCTGTCTGGAGTTGGGGTTCCAGAGCCGCACTGCGCGTGCGCCGCGGTGCCTGCTGCGGGGGGCGGCGGTCCCTGGCTTTGCTTGGCGCGTGGCGCGCGGCGTTGTGACTCCTGATTGTCCTGCTCCGGGGAGGCGAGGGTGCTGGGCGTGGCTCCCGGGGGCTGCTCGGCGGGGACAGACTGGGCCGCCTCATCGGCGCTAGGTTTAAAGGCTTTTCGGAGACCACCACGGGCCAGTTCCCACCGTCCGGAGCTCCCGCGGGGAACTGAACCTGCGCGTGGAGCCTGGCCGGAGGACGGTGAGGCCGCGGAGAGGTGAGTTCTGCAGATCGGAGTGTGGGATGGCAGAAAGGGTGCCCCACGGCCCGGGGGTCCGTGGAAACGGGACCGGCAAGCCAGGCGCGGGGTTGGGGGGGCCTGTCTGTAGAGGAGGGATGTGGCGGGGAGTGACCACTGTCGGCGCCCTTTCGCCCAGAGAGCTGGGTTTCCCTGCTTGGGATACCCAGATGGGCTTCAGGGATTCAACAGAGGACTTTGAGGTGATGAGCTGTACTTTTTATCGTGTATTCAAACAAGGTACTGACGCGCTTAAAAAGCCCTTAACGGAAGCAAAGCTTTGTGTCCTCTTTTCCATTTTCTTCACTCTCCCTGCTCTTTTAGGCCTTTTCTTTCGATTATTTTTTTTCTGTCCAACCCACGCAGACCTGCAGGGAAGAGATCTGCTGACCAGTACACGATCGCCCTGAGCATCCTCTCTGCAGAAGGCACGGAACCGCTTACAGTTGGCCTTGCATTTGTCCCCACCCACCCCGCGCCTCGCCTCACTCCTAGAAATGATTTTTAGTGGTTCCCTTTTGCCTGTTAAGTGAATTTTTAAAACTTTAGGCCAACCCTGACGCGATGGCATATTCCTGTAATATCAGCGCTCCAGGGGCTGAGGCAGGAGGTCAGATCACAAGTTCCAGGCCAACCTGGGCTATGTTGGGTTCAAGGCCAACCCGGACGACAGGGTAAGACCCCCATCTCGAGAGAAGCTAAAAACTTAAGGCCCGAAAGTTTCATTCAGGAACCTAGTTGTAGACTAGTTAACCTGGGAATGAGAAATTGAGCAATACTTAGGTTTAACATACATTTGTTTTCCTCATTCAGCTTGCTCAATAGGTATTACAGGCTTTTCAGGTGAGATGAATGTGAGAGCCTGGCTCAGGAAAAAACAGCCGTGCAAGTAGTAAGGTTTGGTTGCCCCAGGTGTTTTTGTTTTTGTTTTAGATCCAAAATCTTTGGATCTTTTGCTGGAGACGTGAGTTTGTCCACTATCAACTATCTGTCATCAAATGCTGAACATTTACAGGGTTCTGAACTAACCTTCTCTCCACTGATCTGACTATACCTCCTTCTCCTTAACTGATGTCTCAAGCTCTACCTGGATTTAAAATACTGTTGGGTGAAGGAGTAATAGTAATAGTTTGTGGTAAAATTTACCAGGTTTGTAGCAACAAAGGAACAATAAAGTAAATTTTCATTAAGTTTAATCTATCGAAAGAACTATGATGCAGTCATTCAAAGAACATAGAGTGATGAGAAAGAAAAAAACCTGGTAAAATGCAACACTTTTGATTAATGGGAGGGGGGGCCATAAATGGATTTTTATATAAGAAGAATGTTCCGGTTTAAGAAAAAAATTTAAACATGAATTCTGAAATTGTATTTTGGTATTTAAAATCTCTTGTGAAATGGTGGTGATTAGGGTGGTTAATTAGGTTTGATTTCAGTTTTAAATCAAGGTTCTCAACAAGCTATGAAGTTACAATGTGGCCATGCCATGTGGGTCTTTCTTGTCTCTGAATAGTTAATTTTACAGTGCTGATTACAGTCTCTGGGCACTCACTGTTCTCTACTTGCTTTGGGTGTCTTAGCAATGCAAAGTGAAATCTTAGTACTCTGCATCTTCTCAGTACCTAACATCCCACTAAACAATGCTCTGTAAACCTTGGTTACTTGATTAGACGTTAATTTTCAGCATGAGGTCTCTTAATTCAAACTGTTTCAAAAGCGGGTCAAGAATTCTTTTCCCCCATCTTTTCTAGGAAGGTGCAATGGCAAGGAATTTATCTGTAATCTTGATCCTGATCTTTGCTCTGTTGGTCACAAATCCCCTTCATGAACTAGAATCAACTGCTGCTTTCTCTCAGACCACTGAGAAAATTAATCTGAATTGGGAATCTGGCATTAATGTTGACACAGCAGTGACCACACGACATCATCATCTACAACAGCTTTTCTACCGCTATGGAGAGAACAATTCCTTGTCAATTGAAGGGTTCAGAAAATTGCTTCAGAATATAGGAATAGAAAAGATTAAAAGAATCCATACACACCATGACCATGAGCATCACTCTGACCATGATCGTCACAATCATCATAATCGTGTTGCTTCTGGTAAAAACAATTGGAAAGCTTTTTGCCCAGACCATGACTCTGATGGTTCAGGTAAAGATCACAGAAACAGCCAGGGGAAAGGATCTCTCCACCTGGAACACGCCAGTAGCAGAAAGAATGGCAAGGAAGGTGTGAGCGCTGGTGAAGTGACCTCAACCATGTATAACACTGTCTCTGAAGGAACTCACTTTCTAGAAACAGTGGAGACTCCAAAGCCTGGAAAACTTCCCAAAGATGTAAACAGTTCCACCCCACCCAGTATCACAGAAAGGAGCTGGGTGGGACGGCTGGTTGGTAGGAAAACTAACAAGTCTGTGAGTGAGCCCAGAAAGGGCTTCATGTATTCCAGAAACATAAATGACAATACTCAGGAGGTAAGATAAAGGCTGTTCAATGCTTTAATATACTCGCTTGTCTGTCTTGTCATTGCCATTCTTATTTCTAGTTGTAAGGAGTATGAAATAAAACAGGGAATTTATTGAAAAGGGTATTTTTCTGCTATTTTTTGATTTTTTGAGGCAGAGCCTCACTGTGTAATTCAGGCTGGCCTTAAACTCACTGTGCAGCCCAGGATGGTCTTGAATTTGTAGCATTCCTCCTGCCTCAGCCTCCTGAGTGCTGGGATTATAGGAATGCACCACCACACCTTGCCTTGCTAATGTTTTGCTTCCTCAGCAAGGCTCACAGTGAGCCTACCGTGTTGTAAACATTCCTGTACAGATCTTGGGGAATAGGTCTTTGGTGAGAAGAGTGTTGTGTACTCTTCTTTTTGTAAAATATATAGAATGTAAAATGTCTGTAGAAAGATACTAAGGTTATGTTTGGAGAAATTATTAATAAAAATAGAAAATGGAAAAATTGAAAAGTAGTAGCTGGAATCTTAAGTTTTAGGAAAAACTGAAAGGACTGAAGAACAGCAAGGGTAGAGTGGCCTCCTTGGCGAAAGGCTTACAGTAACTTGCAGAGAGATTGAAAATTGGAGCAGCTATGGAGAATTTCATACTAGACGAGCTCAAAGTGTGGTTGATGGGGTTAAGAGTTTATGTGGTTTTGCACTTCCAACATCCACCTGTTTTACCTTGGCTAAAAGATGCCAAGAAAAAAGAATTCATTGATATACTTTAGTAAGAAAAACTTGAGTACTTCAAACCAGCATCAATGTTGACACAGCAGTGGTCACCTGGCAACACATCTGCAGCAGCTTTTCTACTGCTATGGAGAAAAGGGTTCAAGAAACGGCTTCAGAATATAGACAAAACATTAAGAGAAGCCATTCCCACTTTGACCATGAGCATCTATAGTAAGGTACTAAGGTGCTTGTATTAACATAAATTTGGAGTAATCCTACTAATGGTCATAAACAAAGCAGCAATGGTAATGAAGTTTCTTCTTACTGGTATCCTCCGAGAATTCCAGGAGTCTGAAATATCCTTACAGAACCTAAGAAACAGGCAGAGGGTGTTTTTGTAGTTTTTTTTTTTTTTTTTTTTTTTTTTTGTAGGGGAGGCTAAATTGGCATAAAGCTTTCCCTTCAAACCATGGTTGTTACCCAGTTAAATTGTTGAAAACATCTGCCTGCTGAGACAGGTTTGTTTTAACCAAAGTTGCAAGAGAAGTCTGCGTAATTTAATATCCTCTCATCATAGAGCATTTTGCCAAGTATGTAGACAGAACTGAGCTAAGTTTTTGCAAGTAGGGTCATTGATGGAAGAACATGTCTTGGGCTTGTTTAGGCCACATAGATTAGTGTTAGTACTACAATGTGTTTCTCAAACCCTGATGAATCCCACTTCAGAATTAAAGCTCATTTCCTTAAGAGATTTATACAGTGAGTTAACAGGCTTGTGAATCTTCATTTATCCTCAAGCTTATTGTACCTTGAGGCTTTCTCCCTAGTGACTAATGACCTAAGTGCATCTCTCAAATGAACAGAAGGTAGCATAGTACACAGTGCCATTTCCTCTATATAACTAGAGGCCAGTTCGGAAGTACTGAAAAAAGTTGCTTTTAACATGAATTGACGTAAGTAAAGGACTACTAAGGTTAAGGTATGTCATCAAACTATATTTTCTCTAACAGAAATGCCCGTCAGTGATTTTCACTGCTTTGTT